ACTGAAAGTGTGTTTGGGAATAAAGCAAATAAGATATTGTATTGGGGGCCAGGGAGATGACTCTGAATGTTCCCTAAATCTAGAACTGCTCTGATTTAAGTTTTAAGTTTAGCTGGTTTATTTATATATTTTTTTTGGTGGGTCACACCCAGCAATGCTCAGGGGTTATCCCTGGATCTGCACTCAGGAATTACTCCTGGCGGTGCTTGGGGGACCATATGGGACGCCAGGGATTGAACTTGGGTTGGCCGCATGCAAGACAAACTCCCTATCCACGGTACTATCGCTCTGGCCCTAGCTCTGTGTTTCTTACCTGGAAGTAATAAGCCTCCTCAAGTTGCCATGCAAGTGAAAACACAGGCTATTTAGTTCAATCTGCCCTTCAGATAAGCAGACAAATACTTTTCTTCTTTATTTAAATTTTTTTTAAGTTACTTTTTTTTAAGGAGTGATAGCACAGCAGTAGGGCGTTTTCCTTGCACTCAGCCGGCCCTGCCGAGCCAGGTTCAATTCCTCCGCCCCTCTCGGAGAGCCTGGCAAGCTACCAAGAGTATCTCACCTGGCAAGCTACCCATGACGTATTCGATATGCCAAACACAGTAAAAACAAGTCTCACAATGGAGACGTTACTGGGCCCACTCGAGCAAATCGATGAACAATAAAAGGACAGTGCTACTTTTTTTTAAGACTTACAAACTCTTGTGATTATGTTTCAGTCATGCCATGTTCTAGAACCCGTCCACCCCTCCACCAGTGCCCATTCTCCGCCATCAATGTTCCCAGTATCCCTCCCATCCCTGCTCCTTGCCTCTGTAACATAATAGGAGACTAACACCTAAGATTAGTAGAGACAAAGGCCAGAAGGATTGCTCCACAGCGTGGAAGCCAGTCTCATGTGCTGGGGAAAAAGACAGCTGGGACAGAGAAGGGACCACTAAGTAAATGATGCTTGGAGGGCTCGCTCGGGATGGGAGATGCGTGCTGAAAGTAGGCCATGAACCAAACAAGATGGCCGCTTAGTACCTGTATTGCAGACCGTAATACTTTCCTTCTTAGTGCAACTTTGTCCACACATTGTTTGGGACATACTTGTAGGAAAAAGAGACCTTTGTCTGAAATCGAAATCAAAAGTGCCATCCTCTGATGTGGCGGGCCTGCATCCTGGGGACAAGGTCATCTGCAGTGTGAAATGATAGATATGACTAGATCTCCACTGTAAGACTTTCGGTATTTTTTTTGAAGGCATTCATAAACGGTCTCCATAAAAAGGCGGGATTAGTTTGAGGCGTTGCTCAAACAAACCTAGATAAATCCAGTCTTTTATCGCCTCCTCCTCTTCCCCAGTGCCAGAACAGTGACAGCAGAGACCTGGGTGTCCCTGCTGGGGGTGGGGTCCGTCCATCTCGAGGCTTGTCAGAACCACAGCCTCAAAAGCCTCGTGTGTCTCAGACATTGCGACTTTCCCCTTATCTTCATCACTGCATCCCTGCTTGTCCGATCGTGGGTCTCCATCTGGGGCATGACAGCAGGCTGCTACAGGTGAGGCTGTCTGGGCTAGAGGCACACTTAACCTTGGGTTGGCCCCTGTTTTCACATTCTTTGCCCAAGATGTGGATTAACAGAAGGGATGTGTGCCTTGCGACAAGCTGTAACAGGAATGTCCGACCCAGAGACGGGGCATGAGAAGCAGGTTAGGCTTCAAGAAGCCACAAGCAGCCAGGAAGAGGTTGAACAAAGCGGAACCACCTGCAGCTCCTGAGAACATAGGAAACGTGTTTACAACACAGACAGAAATAGCGGTGGAGGAGGGGAGAGCAGTGCTGCTCGGCAGAGCCCAGAAAAACCATTCATTCGCTTAGCCTGCTTTGAGCACTCTAAAATTCAGTTTAGGGCTGGAGCGATAGCACAGCGGGTAGGGCGTTTGCCTTGCACGCAGCTGACTTGGGTTCAATTCCCAGCATCCCATAGGGTCCCCCGAGCACCGTGAGGAGTAACTCCTGAGTGCAGAGCCAGGAGTAACCCCTGTGCATCGCCAGGTGTGACCCAAAAAAGCAAATAAATAAATAAATAAAATAAAAAAAAATAAAATTCAGTTTATGCCCAAAGATTTTGTAGGAAAAATACAGATACCTGATTGTAAGTAAGTTAGAAGGCGCAGCAGGAAGAGGAGGAGGAGGAGGAGAGGAAAAGGAAGAGAAGGTGGAGAGAAAAGAGAAGGAAGACAAGAAAAAAGAGGAGAAGGAGAGGGGCTGGAGTGATAGTACAGTGGGAAGGGTGTTTGCTTTGCAGGTGGCTAGCTGGCTTCCGGCACCCTATATGGTCCCCTGAGCACCTCCGGGTGTGATCCCAGTCATCCAGTAATCCCTGAGCATAGAGTCAGGAGTAAGGCCTGAGCACCACCGGGTGTGGCAAGAAGAAGAAGAAGAAGAGGAGGAGGAGACGAAAAAGAAGAAGTGGAAGAAGGAGGAGGAGGAGAAGGAGAAGTAGGAGAAGACGGAGGAGAAAGAGGAGAAGGAGAAGAGGAGGAGGAGGTAGAGAAAGAGGAGGAGAAGGAAGAGGAAGAGGAAAAGGAGGAAGAGGAGAAGGAGAAGAAGGAGAAGAAGTGACTGGGGAAAGGGCTCATGGGCTGGAGTACATGATTTGCGTGAAGGATCCCTAAGTCCAATTTTTGCCACCACATGGTCCCCTGAACAGTGCAGGGTAACCCTGAGCACGGAGGTGGGAATGTCCCCCAGTATAAACTGGTGTAGCCCCCAAACAAAGAAACGAATAACAACACTAACACCTACTTCATCCATCCCAACCCACATCAAACCCCAAACCAAGCAGTTCCCATGGCCTCGGAAGCCAACTTTAGTCCCAGGCCAACTTCAGTCTCTAACCCGCGCACTCGCAATTTTCAAGGACAGAATTCCAAGAAGATGAATTGTATTGGTTCTTCCCAATTTTGGCACAGACTATGAGGAACTGAGAATGCCAAAAATTCTAGAGAAACAGATGGGTATTTTAAATCACAAACATTTATGCACAACCCAAGTGCTGTGGTTTTGGACAAAGTAAGAAAATAGCTCTCAGCCCATGTCCTTCTATCTGAAAGATGTAGCCCGCCATGGCCAGGGGAGGGAGAAGAAAGTTTCCTCAGGATTGAAGATAGAAGAAGCCCGAGAAAAGGGCAACATCTGTGAAATGTAAATTCCTGCCTTCCAGAGGTTTGCAAACAGCTGTGAGCTGCTACAGCCCTGTTCCACCACAACCCTACTCTGATTTTATCACGTGTCATAAAATTACTATGGGATCATCTAGCAGGTGCTCGCTAAGGTGCCATGTGCATTGTCTCTCAGTGGTGATGGGAGGTGAGAAGTGAGAAGGGTGTCAGAGATCACATAAGACAGACAAAAGATAAGGTTAAGAAAAGATCACGAGGGGGCCAGAGCGATAGCACAGCTGGGAGGGCGTTTGCCTTGCATGTGGCCAACCCCAGTTCGATTCCCAGCATCCTATATGGTTCCCCCAGCACCGCCAGGAGTAATTCCTGAGTGCAGAGCCAGGAGTAACCCCTGAGCATCGCTGGGTGTGACCCAAAAAGCAAAAAACAAAAACAAAACAAAACAAAAAACAGAAAAGATCATGGGTAGGGACTGGAGCAAGAGAATAGCAGGTAGAGCACTTGCCTTGCATGTAGCCAACCTGGTTCCATCCCCAGCACCCTGAGCCCCACCAGGAGTGATTCCTCAGTGCAGAGCCAGGAGAAAGCCCTGAGCATTGCCAGATGTGACCCAAAAAGCCAAAAAAGAAAAGAAAAAAAGGGGGAAAAAAAGAAAAAGATCACCTTTATTTGAAATGCTAACTGGAAGTGATTACTGGAATAGAATTTATTTTGTCCTTGTTCCTTCAGTGTTGTTGGGTGACTTGGAGGTCTCTCTCTCTCTCTCTCTCTCTCTCTCTCTCTCTCTCTCTCTCTCTCTCTCCCTCTTTTTTTCTCTCTCCCTCTCTCTTTCTCTCTCCCTCTCTCTCTCACTTTCTCTCACACATGCACAGGCACACACACACACACACACACACACACACACACACACACACACACACACACACCCTGGCTATCGTTGTGGCACTCCCACACACCTGGCTGCAATGCAGTTTCCAGCTCACAGAGGCAGAGCTCCAGAATCTGGCTCAGTGCCTCCTGTGGCAACATTGGGGACGGAACTAGCAGCCTTACGTTTAACTGGAACTTTATTTATTCTTTTACATTTTAATTTATCGTTCGGTCTGGGGACTACCCCCAGCGATAATCAGGGGTTACTCCAAGCCTTTTCGAACCCAGGGCTTCGTACGTGCAAGGCAAGTGTTCTATCACTGGACCACATCCCATTACCTATTTAAGAATTGTGTAATCTCTTTCTGAACTGCGGAGAGATTACGTTCAGAAGAACAGTCAACATCGCCGGGCTTGCATATCGCTACAAACAAGCCAGTTCATTTTATGTTTCTGCGGGGGCGGGGAGCACACCTGGCAAAGCTCAAGTATTGCTCCTGCTCTGTGCGTGGGAATTTCCTGACGGTGCTCTGAGCTCCGTCAAAAAGCCCAATTACCAATAGATTCTTTAGTGCCCAGCTGAACCAGGGCATTTCTCAAAAACATTGATTTCTCAACTTTGTCTAATACTCATCGAGTCCAAGAGTTAGGTCCTGGAAACGCCTTTAATTCAACTCGATCGGAGCCCGCAGGTGGGAGTCACACGCCCTCGTCTCCGCCCCGCCCCCAGTCTTCGCCCCGCCCACGATCCCCGCCCCGTCTCCTAGCCTTCGCCCCGCCCCTCGTCTCTGCCCCGCCTTCTAGCCATCGCCCCGCCCCTCCCCTCCGCCCCGCCCCTGGTCTCCGCCCCTCTCCTTGTCTCCGCCCCTCGCTTTGCATCCTCCCCGCCCCTTTTCCCGCCCTGCCCCGAGTCTCGCGCGGCCTCCGGACTCGCTTCCCGTGATGCCCCGCGCCCCGCCGCCGCGGTTGCTGGGCAACGCGCGTTCCATCCCCGGAAGCGCGAGGTTCCGCCGGGCCATGGGGCTTCGGGCAGTACCACCTCTTCTGCTGGTGTTCCTGGACTGCTGGGCCTCCGTGTGTGCCCAGGCCGGGGCCACGCCGCCGGGCCCGACGGAGGCCCTGGAAAGCACGGAGGCCGCCCTGACGACTGTTCGTCCCTCGTTGTCGCCCAGGCCCCCGGCGACTCCCAGGCACCCCACCTCCGGCCCCCGGCCCACCCCGGTCACGGACGGTGGGTACCAAACCAGTGCCACCCATGGGGTGTCGTTCGGACGAGGAGATGATAATGATGGTGATGCTTGCGGATGCATTAGCACACCGAACGTGTGCAGGCATCGCTATGGTGGTATTAATTCTCAACGCTGAGAGGGAGCGACTTGCCCTGTAGGTGGGAAAAGAGCATTAAGAGGAACGAATCTCTGAATTTCCCAATCGCCTGGGAAAATGTTAGTGCTAAAGCTGATAACGAATCAGTCCTCTCCCCCTTGCATCTGAAGAGGAAAGTAATTCAGAGGCTCTAGATCGTGGTGGAAATGAAACGCACAAGGTGTGTGGACCTTTCCGCCTATTAAAAAAGGATGCATGGGGCAGGAGGGAGAGGCAGTGAGCTGGAATGCAGCCTTGGCATGCTGGATTCCGAGGTTATGGCCCCCCCAGCAACGGCCAGAATAGCCGGCGGCTGTCAGTTCAGGAAATGTCATTTCTGGGGAGCCTCCCTAATACTTCTGTGTCCCACCAGGACTGTATCTGGAGGCCTGGGGCTCTGTATCTGCCAGGAGTGAGCTCCTGCCCTTTGGCAATCATTTGAGCTGTAACCAGCGCGAGCTGTAATCGAAAAATAATTTTGGCATACCCAGATGTGCTCAGGCACCACTCGCAGCGTCGGAGGCCAATCCTGGTGGTGTTTGAGGGAAACTTGTGACACTGGGAACTGAACCCAGGCCTTGCGCATGCAACGTGCACTCCAGCCCTTTTTCAGCCGTCTTTCTGCCTCCCTCAAAATGTTTTTTTTTTTCTTTTTGGGTCACACCCAGCGATGCTCAAAGGTTACTCCTGGCTCTGCACTCAGGAATTACTCCTGGTGGTGCTCGGGGGACTCTATGGGATGCTGGGAATCAAACCTGGATTGGCTGCATGCAAGGCAAACGCCCTACCTGCTGTGCTATCGCTCCAGCCCCTTCCTCAAAAAGTTTTGAGTTTAGGGGGGGAAAAAAGATTTTATTTAAGTGCCAAGGAGAGAACTTGCTCCTCTGTGTGTATGTGGATGGGTGAGACAGTGGTGTTAGGACTTTGAATGTTCTATTTTGTTTTTTGTTTCTATTTTGGGGGCATGCCTGATGATGCTCAGGGGTTACTTCCAGCTCTGCACTCAAGAATCACTCCTGATGGGGTTCTGGGGACCATATAGGAAGCCAGGGATCGAACCCCAATCAGTCAGGTGCTAGGCAAGTGTCCTACCTGCTGGACTATTGCTCCAGTGCCACTTCGATAACTGTACAGTGGATCAGTGGGAATAACGTAAAGAATTTCACCAACTCCTAAGAATCCAGGACTCAGGGCCCCACTGTGGCTTCCAGCGGGCTCCTTGGCAGCGGGGTGAGGCTTCAAGGAAGGTCAGTGGGTTAACGCCACCAGAGGACTTGGCACTGCTATCCTGGTGGGCCTTAGGGTCAGAGAGGTGATGTCGTTTCTGAGTGTAGCTTGTCTGAGTGATTGTCATCTCTTAGAACATTTTGAAAGCCCGTGTCTGGGAGTCCTGGCTTATCCAATCATTCCTCAGAGGTAAAACCTAGAACTTTCCTGGCACGTCCTACAGCATCTGCATCTGCTTGGGAAGGCCTGGGATGTGGCACATGCAAACGAACTTGTCTCCACTTCCCACTGTCCTCCGAAGCATGATGGGGTAAATTGAGCTTGTGCAGGGCCTGGCAGGGAGCAGCCGCCCGCCTCCTGTGACACCCGCTTCCCACCCCACCCCCCGTGCCCGCAGTTGCTGCTCTGTGCGTCTGTGACTTGTCTCCAGCCCGGTGTGACGTCAACTGCTGCTGTGATCCTGACTGCAGCCCTGTGGATTTCAGTGTCTTTTCTGCCTGCTCAGTTCCAGTTGTCACGTAAGCTTATGACGCGTGTAGCTTTCACCAAAAACAAACCAAAGGCCAGAAAGTGAAAGTGCTCTCAGGGCTGAAAAGCCTGACCTGGTTTCCATCCTCCCGAAGCCAGCCAGTGGGGGAGAGTCTCTGCTCCTTACTGGCATCTGGCTTGCTGGTAGAGAAGAGTGGAGGGGAGGGAAGGACAGTTCACATAGATTTGTCAGCAGATATGGGTATCATTTTTTTTGTCTTTTGTCAGCAGATATGGGTATCAATTTTTTTGTCTTTTGATGGAAGAAGGAATTGGTCTTACTTGAAGCATGGGGTGAAAAATACAGCTTAATTTTATGGCTTTTATTGTGGAGGTAATATTTGTAACGTGGAGTTAAATCGCCTACAAAGCACTCTATATGATTCTGTGGTATGTTCATCAAGGGTTTTTTTGTTTTTGTTTTTGTTTTTTTTTGGGGGGGTCACACCCAGCGATGCACAGGGGTTACTCCTCGCTCATGCAGTCAGGAATTACCACTGGCAGTGCTCAGGGGACCATATGGGATGCTGGGAATCGAACCCGGGCCGGCTGCGTGCAAGGCAAACACCCTACCCACTGTGCTATTGCTCCAGCCCCTCATCAACGTTTTTTATTTTTGTTTTTGGGCCACACTCAGTGGTGCTGAGGGCTCACTCTGGTGGTGCTCTGGCTCGGTGCTCAGGGATCACTCCTGGAGTAAGCCCTCAGCACTGCTGGAAGATACCATAAAGAATACCTGAGCATCATTAGGTGTGGGTCCCCCACCCAAAAAAAAAAAAAAGAATTCAACCCATTTTTATTTAGTTTATTCAGTGCTAAGATGTTTGGAACTTGAAAGTTTACCCACTTACAGGGAAAAAAAAATAAAACTACCTGAAATTCTACCAAAATTTATGTAATTGACTCCATCAGGGTTTACAAGATTCATTTATATCAAATTTGTACCCTTATTAATATTTCTTACTTGAAAAGGATTCCTTAAATGTTATTCTAAACTTGTCTCAATTACTTTCCCTGTGAGTGGGAAAATTTTCAAATGCCAAACATTCTAAGCCTGAATAATCTAAATAAAAATGGGTTCGATTCTTTCCTGGTTTTTTTGTTTGTTTGTTTTTGGGCCACACCTGGTGATGCAGAGGGTTACTCCTGGCTCTGTATTCGGGAATTACTGCTGGCAGTGCTCAGGGAATCATGGGGTGCCGGGGATCAAACCCTGGTTGACCGCATGCAAGGCAAACGCCCTATAGAAATGGGTTCAGTCTAACACCACATGCTCATAAATGTCCTTCTTGCAGTTATTGAGCACAATGGCACAAGCATTGGTGATTTTAAAATAATCCTAGGGGTTGGGGTGATAGCACTATTCCCAGCATCCCATATGGTCCCTGAGCACCTCAGTGCAGAGCCAGGAGTGACCCCTGTGCATTGCCGGGTGTCACCCAAAAAGCAAAAAAATAAAATAATCCTAAAATTGTGTGTATCGGCCTCAAAATTTTTTTGTTTTAAATTTTTTAGGGGTGATCGTCAGTTTTGCAGTCAAAAAGCAGCCATCTATTCCTTGAATTTTACAGCGAACCCACCCCAAAGAGTCTTTAAACTTGTTGATCAGATCAATCCCTCCGTATTCTGTATTCATATTACAAATTGTAAGTATTTGATGGTGATGTACTTTCTGAAACTCTGAAAAAAGTGTCTTTATAATTCTTTTCTGAATAAATGTTCCATTCAGTGAGATTAAAAGCATGTTTTTCATGAGGCCAACCCAGGTTCGATCCCTAATATCCCATATGGTCCCCTGAGCCCCGCTAGGAGTGATTCCTGAGTGCAGAGCCAGGAGTAACCCCTGAGTATTGCTGAAAGTGAGAGAGTACAGCAGGCAGGGCACTTGCCTTGCACATGTCAGACCTGGGTTTCAATCCTGGCATCTTGGATGATCCCCGAGCACTGTCAGGAATGATCCCTGAGCACAGAGTCAGGATTAAGCCCCAAGCACACAACCAAGTGTCACCCCCCACAAACAAACAACAAAAAACAAAAATAAAAGTGATGGGGTGCATTGCCCTGTCTCTGAGATAGCATGTTCTATTTTACAGCTGTCTGTGGTTTGCAGACGTACATAGGGATTGTACTGGCTCTGCATCCTGGGATCGCTCCTTGAGGTGCGCTGGGGACCATGTAGGGTGCCAGGGGTCAAACCCGGGTCAGTGTGCAAGGCAGTACTCTACCTGCTGTACTCTCTCCAGCCTCAAAAACAAGATAGTTTTTACTGAAAGAAATCTACATAGATTATGTAGGAAACGTGAGGGTAGAGAGGAATACATGTATGAGGAGCATGAGCTTCTCTGGAGTGGAAAAGCCTGATGTGTTTTTTTTTTTTTTTTTGTCAACATTTTTCCCTTCTGGTGTAAATGGTTAAGAATAAGGTCCAACTTTCGTTTCAATTTCCCTTTTTTTGCTTTTATTTTTACTAAGAATATTTGCATGAAAACCGGATCTTTATTTTTATCTGGGCAACCAGCTTGAATACCTGTCTGTTTTCAAAGTACAGGAAAATAAAACATTCTCAAATACCAAAGGCCAAAGACACATTTCTATCTTTTAAAATATTTGTTATTTTACACGGGTCATTCCAGTCCTGTTTATGCTTTTAGTAATCAAATGTTGTCATTATTGTTGAATGTCTTTATATTGTTTTTGTTTTGTTTGGGGACCACATCCAGCAGTACTCAGGGCTTAGTCCTGGCTCTGTGCTCAGGGATCACTCCTGGTGAGGGTTGGGGAACCATTTGGCCCAGGGATTGGCTTCTAGCAAAGCAAACCCTCTACCTCTTATACTATCGCTTCTCCCTGTGGGTGTTTTTTTTTCTTTTTAAGGGGGATGGGAGGGTTTTACCAGGTGGTACTCAGGGGCTATTCCTGGCAGTGCTTGGGGAGTCAGGTGGGGGCGACAGACCCAGGCTCCTGCATTGCAGTATTATGTTCCAGCCCATCATGCTCCATCATCCCCCAGCCCATATTTGGAGCCTTTCCCCTCTGACTGAGAATCGAGAGGAATGTGCTTTGCCTTGTAATCCTCATCGCAGTTGGTCAAACTCCAGTGCAGTGACCGCGCCAGCTGGTCCCCTCCTCCTCCCGCCGCCTTCCCAGCCTGTTATCTGTGATGTATGAGGGGACAGACGGGACCTCTCGCTCCCGCTGCCATCTGGAGAGCACGTCCCTGAGAGACTGACACTGCCCAGTCTTCAGCCCGTCAGCTGCAGAGAGAGGTGGATTGTTCTTGGCTCCTCTGGCACTCTTTACCTGTACCGTTTCCACAGGAGAGAAATGGGACAAGTCTGAGGAATCCTGTTCAGTTAGTGTAACTCACAGGTCCCGAGGGAACAGCTCAGTGGCAAGAGTACCTGCTTTGCACACATGAAGCTGCGTGTGATATTGACCTCAGGTGCTGCCTGCAGGTGCTAGTATGGTCCCAGCGGCTGTGCAGTTTGGGACCCTTGGTGCCCCAAAGCTCACAATCTCCAGAGCACAGCCCTCAGGAGTGTGCAAGTACCGCAGCTGAAGTGTTTGACCCCCAGAGAGCCCCAAAGCATGGGGGAGCCCCAGGCAGCAAAGGGCAGAGACAACTCTATAAAATTCGGGAAATTTGGGCCAAAGTAAATAGGGACTCTCCCCCATTCCCCACGTCAGCCTCAAATACCATTGAAACTGCTCACAAAATATTATCCATGTTGTATAATAAGAGTCACTGCTCTCCCGTTGTTCATCTATTTGCTCGAGTGGGCCCAGTAACGTCACCATTGTGACAATTGTTACTGTGTTTGGCATATTGAATACGTCACAGGGAGCTTGCCAGGCTTTGCCATGCGGGTGAGATACTCTTGGTAGCTTGCCGGTCTCTCCGAGAGGGGTGGAGGAATCGAACTCGGGTCGGCCATGTTGGCTGCATGCAAGGCAAACACCCTACCACTGTGCTATCGCTCCAGCCCATTATATATATATATATATATATATATATGTATGATATATATATGATAAATACCATTATATATATAACATACTAATTTAAAATATTTTTTCTAAAAACAGATAAACCTGCATTATCCTTTGTTGATCCAGAAGTACCTGATGAAAGTAATTTTGATAAATTGATGAAAACATCTCCTGGCTTTTCTTTGAACGCAGAATCAGATACTTCTTTCACAAACACATCAGATGCTCCAAAGGCTGGTAAATATGAGGTAAACCCAGAACTAAACTTTCTTTTTTGTTTGTTTGTTTTTTTGTTTGGGGACCACACTTGGCGATACTCAGGGGTACTTCTGACTCTGCACTCAGAAATTACTCCTGGCATTGCTCGGGGAACCCTATGGGGTGCCAGGGATTGAACCAGGGTCTGCTGCATGCAAGGCGAACACCTTCCCTGCTGTACTGTAGCTCCGGTCTGTAAACTTCCTTTTTAATTCATGATAAATACCGGGTCAGCATAAAAATTACCATCTCGAGCATTTTTCACGTGCCAGTCACCATGAAGAGCTTTCCAGGCATCCCCTCCCACAGCGGGCAGACGGCTGTCCCCATTGTGTTGCTGACAAGCAGGTTCATAGAGGAAAGTAACTTGGAGTTGACAGTTTGCCGATCCCACGCCTCCTGTGTCTAATGTGTTTATCGCGCGCCTTTCCCCCGGGCAGACACTAGCCTCCAGTCTTGCTCTCCCAAACAGTCCTCAGTGAATATCCTTTCATGAGGGGATGCTCTCAAGTGGTCCCTCCTGGTGCTTCCCAAGCCCCCGGACTGGCAGTTGAATGTGGAGCTCGAGGATGTGCTGCTCAGCGCTCAGTGCTAGCAGTGAGCCTGGCCCTGGGGCTCCCGCAGGCCTGAGTCCCCAGCCCCGGCATCTGAGAGACACATTTCTCTTAGAGTAAGTCTTTAGGGTATGTTCTCAGAAGTGGGGTGGCTGGTTAAAGTATGAACCCGGTGCAGCCACCCTGCAGAAGCGCCGTAGCCGTGTCTGGCCCAGGTCAGAGGGAGGGGACTTGCTTTAGGGCAGTTGCATCCACTTTTTCACTGGAGAAATGTAGCCAGATGATGGAGGCCGGAATGATCCCCGGCATTCCATCTGGACCCCTGAGCACCGTCAGGAATAATTCCTGGGCACAGATCCAGGAGTAACCCCTAAACACTGCTGGGTGTGACTCAAAAACAAAAACCAAACAAAAAGAGAAAATAGGCCAGAGAAATAATGTAGCAGGGAAGGCTCTTGCCTTGCATGCTGTTGATCCCGGCTCGACCCCCACATGTATAAGACCCTGGGTTCAATCCCCTGTTCCGCACAAGTAATTAAATAAAACGTGCTTTAAAAAAAAGGGGAAATTTACTCCACAGTCACTACGTTTCATCTTGAATACTGGGGAATTCTCATGAAATTCCCAGTGTGAAGGTCTGATATATAAGTTACAGGTTGTTTGATAGTCATGCTAGTGAGAATGCCTGCATGCTGTCACCTCCATCCCTTACTTCTTTTTTTTTTCCATTTTTTTTAAAAAGCTGGTTGAATTTATTTATTTATTTTATTCTTTTTTTTTTTTTTTTTGCTTTTTGGGTCACACCCAGCAATGCACAGGGGTTATTCCTGGCTCTGCACTCAAGAATCACTCCTGGCGGAGTTAGGGGACCATATGGGATGCTGGGAATTGAACTCAGGTCGGCTGCGTGCAAGGCAAATGCCCTACCCTCTATGCTATTGCTCCAGCCCCTCATCCCTCACTTCTAGCAAGAATACCTACCTGCTGTCACCTTTGTCCTGCATCGCCCTGCTCCCGTCTGCAGAGGCAGACCCTTGCCTCAGGTCCAGAGGGGTTTTCTCATGAAGAATCGGAACACGGTTGCTGCACACTTGCATGCATGCACTGGCACATACTGGCACACTCACACTGGTACACACTGGCACACTGGCACACTTAAACATTGGCACACAGTGGCACACGCATACACACTGGCACACATGTAGGCACACACTGGCCACACTGGCACATATACATACTGGCACACACACGGGCACAGACACTGGCACACTCACACTGGCACGGACAGACACACACACACTGGCTCATACACTGTCATACACTTACATAGGCACACACTGGCACAGACACGGGCACACACACTGGCTCTGGTACACCCACTGGCACATACTGGCACACTCCTACACATTCCCACATGGCACTGGCAGTCGGGTACGGTGCCCCACGTGATGCTGCTGCTGTTCCCTTCCAGTATGGCATTCCTGTGCAGACGGCAGATGGATTCCTGAGGTTCCCTGCGCCGCTCATGTCAGCTCTGTGCACCGATAACAACCCTGCGGGTAAGGCAGCAGTCTCTTCCTTTCTGCCTGCAAACACTTCATTCTTCCATTGGAAACACACCACCTGGCTCCCCCTGTATGCTAAGCCAGCTGAGAGACCGTTTCTAACTATGGGATTGGAAAAGCTTAAGAAATCGGAGGCTGGACTGGAGCGATAGCACAGTGGCTCAGGCACTTGCCTTGCATGCAGCTGACCCGGGTTCGATCCCTGGTATCCCATATGGTCCCTGAGCACCGCCAGGAGTAATCCCTGAGTGCAGAGCCAGGAGTACAGAGCCTGAGCATCACTGGGTGTGACCCAGAAAGCCAAAGAATAAGAAAAGGGGACGATCCCTATGCCCAGAGCCAGGAGTAAGGCCTGCTGAGCACTGCCAGCTGTGGCCCAAAACCAAACAACAAAACCAAAGAAATGTCAAGCTATAGTGATGGAGAGCCTCAGTTCACTGCTAATGAAACTAGCTGTTGGTTTGTTTTTTTACCTTCCACCTCCTTGCTGCCCGCTGGCCACCCCTTTTATTGGTTTTATGGAACAAGTTAGCAGTGTGTCAGAAGTAGAAAGAAATATGCCCACTGACCCAGCTCTTCTGCTGTTCAGATTTGCCCTATTGAAATTTTGGCCCACGTGCAAAATATTTGGCAGCATTGTTATGAAGCAGATTTGGTTAGAGGCAACTGAAGTATCTGCCAGTGGGGTGGATGAATTACACCACAGTCTATAAAATCACCTGAACTCTAGGATACATTGTTAAGTGGGAAAATGCATGGCAGAATATGCCAGGCATTTATTTCTAAAAGGGTATACACACACACACACACACACACACACACAGATGTATAACATGCATAAGCTTTTATCTGCATCGATTGTTTTGTTTCCAGGAGACTACGTAAGTACCTCAAAGCTGACTATGTTCAGGGCAGGAAACCATTGGTTGCCAGAGGACAGGTGACCAGGATTGGGTGGAAACTTCTCAGTGGCTTGTGCTTTTAGAGTATTGAATCATGCAAACATTATCTATTTGAAAAAATAATTTAAAATTTTAAGTATGTTTTCGATATGCCAAACACAGTAACAACAAAGTTTCCAATGGAGACGTTACTGGGCCCGCTCGAGCAAATCGACGAACAGCGGGAGGGCCTTTACTTTACTTACTTTACTTTTATATTTATCATATCATATTTTACAGTTTTGCCTAAGTGAGAATATTTTGTTAGTACCAGACAGTCCTAACGTGTCTTTGTTTTTCGATTGTCCCCACCCCCACCTTGGAAATGTTCTGATTTCTAGCTTTTCTGGTGAATCAAGCTGTTGAGTGCAGCAGAAAGATAAGCTTGGAGCAGTGTGAAGAAGCCGAAGTGCTGAGCATGGCCTATTACAGCAGCCCTAAAATTCTGAAGGTAAGGATGCTTTCAAAGTGAAACAGATTCGTTAGGGATGTTTTCTGTTCCTCGCAACCTTTTATTTTATTTATTTATTTGCTTTTTGGGTCACACCCAGCAATACACAAGGGTAACTCCTGGCTCATGCACTCAGGAATTACTCCTGGAGATGCTTGGGGGACCATATGGGATGCTAGCAATCGAACCCAGGTCGGCTGCGTGCACGGCAAACACCTCACCTGCTGTGCTATCACTCCAGCCCCTTAGCCTGTAGCCAACAGCGCCTTGAGCCCTGCCTCTGATCTTCTCCTGTGTCGGGCAGTGGGATAATCATCTATTTCTCTTGTACAGTTAGCTCGTATTTTGTTTCATTGCTTTTTTTAAAAAAACTCATTCATTTTTATGGTAACCAATGCCTATATCCTGAATTTAAAAATTAATAATCCAAAACTATAAAAATTGTAAAGAGCATCATAATATCTATGAAAGAAATAATCATATTAGCACCAGAGATCTCTCTCTGTGAAAAAGACCAGAATAGGAGAGAGAAATCCATGTTTGGTGCGCTGGGGCATGGGGCATTCGGGGAGGGTGCTGGCCATGTGCGTCCCTGACGCCACATCCGAGGAAGCCCCAAGCACTGCTGGGTGTGGCAGCGGGCCAGATTAATGATCGGGTGAGTCAGTGGGCAGCGGGGAGGGAGGCAGCCCCGGCAGGCAGAGGTGAGGAGGCTCCACTGGCCACAGTGCCTCGGCTGGACACAGGAGTGGGCTCAGCAGCCCCGTGGCAGGGGACTCGCGTTCCCTGGAGGGGAGGTGACTCAGAGCCACACACCTCCCGGCTGACTAGCGCCTCCCCGTGCTTCTCTCTTGGCCTTTCCCCCACCCCGCCCTTTCCTTCGCTGTCCTCTTCGTCCCCTGGGCCTGCGTATGCTTCTGAGGAGTGTCACCTGCAGCTTGTCCCGAGAGGGTGGCGAGAGTGCCGCCCCCTCTGAGGACAGGCACAGGAGAAGCTCAGGGCCTGGTGGTGCTGGTGGTGCCATGACGTGCCCCGGAGTCCCACGGCATAGGAAGTCTGTGGCTTACTGTCGTCTTCTCCTTATGAAGTCCTGGGAAAGATGGACACACCCGGGGCCTGGGGTGCTTCTGCCTTGTCTCACCACACTCACTGTGATTTCCTTTGTCTAGGTTCCGAATTCGACAGCGAAGGTGAGTGTTTCTGGATGACAGTGAGTGTTGTGAATCCCAGGCCTGAGTTCTTTTTTTTTTAATTATTTTTAATTTTTAAATTGAATTACAGTGATACACAGTTGCAAAATTGTTTATGATTGGGTTTCAGTCACACAATGTTCCAACCCATCCCTTTACCAGTGTCCATTGTTCACCGCCAGTGGGCCCAGTGTCTCTCCTCTCTGCCTGTCTGTCTGTCTCTCTTCCCCCACCTTTTCTTTTGGGGCCTTATGGTTTGCAATACAGATACTGAAAGGTTATCAGGTGTATCCCTTTACCTACTTTCAACACTCTGTTACTGTCCAAAAGGATCATTTCCAACTCTTATTGTCATGTTGGTCCCTTCTCCATCCTAACTGCCCTCTGCCCCCCGCACACCCTGCGGCAAGCTTCCAGCCACTGAGCAGGCCTGGTTTCTGCGCCTGCGGGGAGCAGGGATCCAGCAGTCCGGCTGCTTCAGGGAGCCCACCATGAGCCCTCCGAGCCTCACAGTCCCTCCCCGTCACAGCCCCCTTCTGCCCACGGAATGGTGGGGCTGCCTCTCACAGCACCTGGCATGGGCACACTGTTATCAGACAGTGAAGTCTCTGAGTGGGGCTGACATGGCCCTGAGCGTACCTGAGCCTGACACCAGACGACACCCATCTGCTTCCGTGTGCAGACTGGGGAGACTGAGGCGTGGCAGCTGGACAATGGCCAAGCTGAGTTTTCTTTTTTCTTTTTTTGTGGGGGGGATGGGGGTCACACCTGGTGATGCTCAGGGGTTCCTCCTGGTTCTGCATTCAGGAGTCACTCCTGGCAGTGCTCGGGGTCCCTATGAGATGCTGGGGATCGAACCCTGGTCAGCCACATGCAAGGCTGAGGCCCTCCCCGCTGTGCTAGCACTTTGGCCCTGAGTTTTCTTTTTTCCTTTCTGGGCTTTTGGCATTCCCAGCAGTGCTCAGGAAATAGGGGACTGAGGCTTCCGACTCATTGCAGTATCTGGGCCATCAAAGCTTGTACTCTGAAGGACAAACAGGTCAACCAGTATCAGAGACTTGCTGAAAGATTTCTGAGGAGCAGTTTCGAAGATTTGGTAGAGAGTCGGGAATATACAATGTGAAATCATTTTGTGAAGCCCACTTTGAAGCCTGGAATTCACACGAAAGCACCCATGAGTATCGGCGTGGCGGGTAGTGTTACTGCGGAGCTCTCTTTCGCTCCTGGCTCCTGGGTGGGTGTGGGAGGGACTCACGGAGCTAGAAGGGCCGTTTCACTCTTGGACTGTTCCTGTGGAAGCTACCAAGCAAGCTCAGCTCCAGCCGCTCACATAGTCCGCCGCCCCCCCATGCTTGTGGAAATTGTGCCTGCCTCACCCACACAGCATGGGACAGCTCCATCCTTCAGCACGGGGGTGCCCTGTGCTGGAACAAACAGGGACCCGGCTCATCTTCATGACTCTCACACAGGACTCATACAAGGCTTTAAAGCCACCGCTGTGACCTGTCCGGCAGGGGGTGTCGTGATGGGGTTGCCCTCCCCACTCCCCCCTGCCCATCTCTGCTTCCAAGCCACATCATGTTCAGCCGGAGGAGGGGGGTGGGGGTGTGCTGCATGCCCGGCTGTGCTCACGGCCACTCCTGATGGTGCTTGGGGGACCATATGTGGTGCCAGTGATCAAACCTGGGTTGACTGTGTGCAAGGCAAGTGCCTTCCTCCGGCCACAAGAGGGATGACAGACAGTTTCATGTCTTTGTCACTGAGCAGACATGAAAGAACTTGTCTGGGGACTGGAGCAATAGCACAGCGGGTAGGGCATTTGCCTTGCACGTGGCCGACCCAGGTTCGATTCCCAGCATCCCATATGGTTCCCCAAGCACCACTGGGGTAATTCCTGAGTTTAGAGCCAGGAATTACCCCATGTGCATGGCTGGGTGTGACCCAAAAAGCAAAAAAAGAAAAAGAAAAAACAAAAACTTGTCTGTAAAATGACAGCTACAGCCCTTGATAATGTTGAAGTAGAGATAGCATCGCCCAGTTCAGCACTTGATACTACACAGTGTGTCATAGAGCATCGGACAGCATTTTGGCTGAGGGCAAAATTCAAGTCAGTAGAGAACCAACGGTTCTCTCTCTCGCTCTCTCTCTCTCTCTCTCTCTCTCTCTCTCTCTCTCTCACACACACACACACACACACACGGTGGGATCATGGGTAAGGTAAAGTAAAGGGATGGATTTTCCTTGTCCTGTCCATCTGTTGTGTGATGGGTGTTTGGCTGTGTGGGGTTTCCCTGTGCATGTGTGTGTGGGGAGGGGACTGTGGGGACTTTTTTGGGGGACTTCTTCCTCCCCGACTCATCAGGAGCTCCGGCCCTGTGCCAGCAGGTCTCTCTGTCCATGCGGTCCGTCATCCTCCGTTCTCTCAACAAGACACTGTCCCGGCTGGACGGCCCTCGGGTGCTGTGGCCGGTGCTCACAGAGGCCGGGCATATGAAAGTCTGCAGAAACGTGGTTCTTGAGGTAGGCGCCCACTGGGGCACCCGGGCTCACATGGTAGTCACTGGGCCACTGAACACCCTCCGGGAGGCCTAAGCTCATGTCACGGGCTGCTGTTGGGGACTTGTCCGTGCTGCTTGCCTCATTTAGACACTTCTTTGGTGTCTGAAAAGTAGCCAGGGGCGCAGGTGCCAGATGTGACTCTGTGACCACCATAATCATGTGAGGAGGTGGCACTGTTCGGCCCCCATACCCACCCAGTGGGGTCAAAATAACCATGTGGGACTTTTCTTCACGCATCTAGAAGCTTCTGAGCACAGTCAGACCTAGTTGTTGCTTTGTGGAAGTCAGTGAGCTCCGCAGACATGGGCTGGTCCTACTGTGACTGTGCGCAGGCTGGTCCCACTGTGCGCAGGCCAGCCGCCCCAGCAGATGAGGCAGGTGACCCTCTATCCCCAGGGGGCAAGTTCCACCTTCCGCATCAGACTCGGCAGGACAGAAACACTTCAGCAAGTGGGGGAAGGGGGGCGGGCTTGCCTCTGCAGTGGGCTGTCCCCTCCCGGACACGCCAGGGACCAGGGTTGTCTCAAGCACCGTCTGTTCGCAGGTGAAATACAGCCTCACGTATTCCCCCGCGGGAGAGGTAACGAATGCTGCACTCTCCCTCCTCCTGGGGACCGTGAGCAGCGCCCAGATGCCTCTCCAGCAAAAATTTAACATTCACTTTATCCAGGTATGTTCGGTCACCGCCAGGGAAGAACGTAGCATAGCTTCTCGGGAAAACACCAGCTCCAGTTTCAAAGCGTGTTCACTTACCAAGGCCCAGCAGCCTCGGGCCGCCACGGGGGCTGGGTCCTTCCTTTGGGTGGAATATTCTCGTCCTCGTGAGCTCTTTCTCTGACAGTCTGATGTACGCCCACGCGCAGCGGAATTATTTATAGTTCTGAGTAGGGGGAGAAATGCTTTCAGGGGCTGGCAATCCCAGATTTGATTATGAAGCGCTTTTCATTTTCTCTGTCTCTTCCTTCTGGAGACGGGATGATTTGGGGTCTTTCTACATTGTTTTTCAGCAAGCCACAAAGCCCGTTCCTCTCAGCGGCAACCCAGGTTATGTGGTGGGGCTCCCACTAGTCGCTGGATTTCGGCCGCAGCGGGGGTATCCTTTGGGGTTTGTGGGGCAGGTTGGTACCCGGCCATGCGCGGTGGGGCCCTGAGCTCTGTGGCTGAAGGACCAGCCTGGCCAGAGCTTCTCCCCAGGGCACTGGACTATGCGGGCTGGGGGACAGCCTGGCCAGAGCGGGCTGGAGCCCTCCAGTGGGCGGGGGTGCCCGCTGGGCAAGGGTGGGCCACCAGACCAGCAGTTGGCTTGAATCAGCACAGCTTGGGGGAAATGTCAGCATTTTATTTATTTATTTATTTATTCTTTTTGGGTCACACCCGGCAATACACAGGGGTTACTACTGGCTCATGCAGTCAGGAATTACCCCTGGCAGTACCCAGGGGACCATATGGGATGGTGGGAATCGAACCCGGGTCGGCCATGTGCAAGGCAAATGCCCTACCCGCTGTGCTATCACTCCAGCCCTATTTATTTATTTATTTATTTATTATTTTTATTTTTTTCCTTTTTGGGTCACACCCAGCAATACTCAGGGGTTACTCCTGGCTTTGCGCTCAGGAATTACTCCTGTAGTGCTCAGGGGACCATATGGGATGCCGGGGATCGAACCCGGGTCGGCCGCATGCAAGGCAAATGCCCTACCCGCTGTGCTACCACTCTGGCCCAAAATGTCAGCATTTTAAAAGGAAAATCTCAAGACAAAAAACATTGAGGCACTAGACACGTTTACTCGCATGCTTAAAACAAAGAGTCCTAAAAGAAACTTTGTGATTTTTGAAACTCAGAGTGCTGTATTCTAGCATGTTTCTTATGCAGCTCTCCTAGGAGGATGATGCAGTGTTTTCCCTGGGAAACAGCTGGCAGAATCCCAAAGACCCAGACAAGGGCCTTGTGCCTCCTGTCACCGCAGCTCTGTCTCCCTGGACTGTCTGTCTTCTGAGCTTCAGGCTGCTTTGGGACCAGGCACTTGTTTATTTCTTAATTTTTAAAAAAATTTTATTTTTATAAAGTTGTTCACAATAAATTTATTGCATTTCGTATTCCTACACCAATCCCACCACCATGACACTTTCCACGAGCAATATTTCGAGTTTTTCCAACCACCGAAGCCTGCCAGGCCCTAAGTGTTTTATTTTGTATTGCTTGCTATGAATAATTTGCTAAAAATGATCGCCAGAAGTTCCTTAACTTTTTCACATGTCCGGGATCATTCAGACCACAAATAGATATGAACAACTTACTGTCCTTCGTAGCACGGCTGAGCAAGACTGCTTAGCAGTGGAGGGGACGCGAACCCCCGTCTTATTTGGCTACAATATGCAAACTGGCTGTAAACTAAGGTAAGCAAGTGATTTGTTTCATTTGTGAGAATTTGTTTCATTTGTGAGATCAGAAAACAAAGGTCCCTACCCTTCCCCTTTGAACTGACCCTTTGGATCGGCAGGAAGGCACCATGTGGCCTGTCTTTCCTCACGGTCACAGCAGCAGGAACAACCGTGTCCTCATAGCAGAGAAGGGCGGGGGACCTTGGGGCCACAGGACGAGTGCACCAGGCTGAGCACGATCCCTGGAGCACCTCAGGTGGCAACAGAGCGAGGAGTAGCCCCTAAGTGGTGGTGTGGCCTCCAAGCAAAAACAGGAAGAGTAAAGCAAAAGCAATAGTAACACACCTTATTGTGATGTTGATTTTTTGGGCTCCTGATTCTCTCATTTTCACTGCTATGCCATTGGTAATGATTCAGGGAAAAAGTATTACAACCATTTGAATCAAATACTGCAGAGTGAAAATCTTAAAACTTTGGTTTTTAAGGTTGCATAACACTTGGATTCACTGCAAAAATATCTCCCTTGAAAGTCATTCCTTTATGTCTCAATTTTTCTTTTTCAGTGTTTGGGTCACACCAGGCATTAGTCAGAACTTACTCCTGGCTCTGTGCTCAGGAATCACTCCGAATGGGTTTTGGGGTGAGGGGCTGGCACCCGCCTTGGCTGAACATGGCAGGGGTCTGTTTGCCTATTGACCTGCCTGCGCAACGTCTCTCCAGCGCCACCGTGTCTGAATTTTAACATCCACAGCACGACAAACCAGGAAAGGAAACTTGAACGCAACTCAAAAGTCAACCTTTGGGGGGCTGGAGCAATAGCACAGCGGGTAGGGTGTTTGCCTTGCACCCAGCCAATATGGCCGACCCGGGTTCGATTCCCAGCATCCCATATGGTCCCCCGAGCACCGCCAGGAGTAATTCCTGATGCATGAGCCAGGAGTAACCCCTGAGCATCGCCGGGTGTGACCCAAAAACGCAAAAAAAAAAAAAAAAAGTCAACCTTTGGGGCTGGAGAGATAGCACAGCGGGTAGGGCGTTTGCCTTGCATGCGGCCAACCCGGGTTCGACTCCCAGCATCCCATATGGTCCCCTGAGCACTGCCAGGAGTAACTCCTGAGTGCATCGCCAGGTGTGACCCAAAAAGCAAAAAAAAAAAAAAAAGTCAACCTTTATATTATCGAACTTGTACCAAAATATGAAAAATCAAGTAGCTATGCAGGACTTACTGGAAACATCCACTGATCCAGTTCCTACCTTCATTTCCCCTCTCAAGAGGCAATAATTTTCAATTCTTACAGCTGATTATGGGGAAATTTACCTCCGAATCTCTAAGTTAGAGGCATATAATGCTACTTTGTGGTTTAGGGTTTTTGTGAATAATTGAACTTCCACTGTGATAAATTAGTGACCCTGTCCCCTTATGTGAGACAAGAATTCCTCAAAAGAATATGTTTGCACAAGGACAGGATAGACCTGTGTCAGTATGTTTGGGGAACAACAAAGTTTAAAACCGGGCTGGAGAGATAGTACAGCGGGGAGGGCGTTTGCCTTGCACACTGCTGACCTGGGTTTGATCCCTGGCACCCCAGATGGGCCCCCGAACCTGCCAGGAGTGATCGGTGAGTGCAGAGCCAGGAGTAAGTCCTGAGCACCACTGGGTGTGGCCCAAAAAAAGCAAAAAGGGAAGAAAAGAAAAGAAGGAAGGATGGGGCTGGAGCGATAGTACAGCAGGGAGGGTGTTTGCCGTGCATGCGGTCGACCCGGGTTCCATCCCCAGCATCCCCTATGGTCCCCCAAGTACCGCCAGGAGTAATTGCTGAGTGCAGAGCCAGGAGGAACCCCTGAGCATCGTCGGGTGTGACCCAAAAGGCCCAAAAAAAAAGGAAGGAAGGAAGGCAGGCAGGCAAAGAGCTGGTGGGCTCCGGCTGAGGTCCCTGTCCTCTACCCAGGCTGGCCGGCACGGTCACCTGTCAGCTGGCGGCGCGGCAGGTCCGGAGCCTGCTGTGGGGCCGCAGCTTCCCGGATTACGTGGCTCCTTTCGGAAACTCGCAAGCCCAGGATGTGCTGGACTGGGTGCCCGTCCACGTCGTCACTCAGGCGCCCACCCTGAAGGTAAGCACTGGTCTCCCCAAGGTGACCCTGACTCAGGGTTTGACTATTTCCTGTGAATGGACGGGGGGACTCAGGGCTGAGCCGGGACTGCCGGCGAGGTGCTCCTCGTGGTGCCCGGTGGTGGGGCGGGCACGCTGCCCCCCGCACTGTCTGGCGGCTGAGCGTCCGGGCTGTCCCCCGAGGGGGCCTCCTGCCACCCACATGGGCTGTCCCCTCACACCAGCGCCTCCATCCCAAAGTTGCTCTCAGTGGAGCAGAAGCTGACGCTCGGCCCTGAGCCACGTGCCCCAAGGCGCACCTTGGCCTTTTGTCTTCGGGGCAGAGTGTGAGCCAGCCCTCAGAGGCGAGCGCTCATCTCCTGTGACCCCAGCTCCTCTGCCACCACCGTTTCCTCAGGCCTCATTGTCTGCGTGCCACATATAGACACCAGGACAATGGGGTGAGCACTAGCTCCCCAGCGCCCAGCCGCCCTCCCCACTGAGCCCCGCAGACCCCCGTGGTGACTCAGTTCCTGCTGCTCAGCTCTGCCGCCTCAGCCGAGAGGGACTGGAGATGGGGGAAGACACCTGGTTATTACTCCCTGGGGAACCGGAGGCTAGCAGAGGTGGCCGTGTGGATGCTCAGAGGCCTGGGGTGGGGTGGGTGCCCACCCTCCGGGAAACCCAGGTAGGCGCCGGCACAGGGCGTCTGAGTGTGGGCCGTCTGCTGTAGTAGCCGCAAGTTTCCACCCACACAGCTCCCAGCCAGCAGGGCCTCTGGGGCCGGCACCAAATTTAGCAGACTGCTGGCTTTGCCTTTTTCCAAAAGATGGATTTTAAAACACTTGTTAGGGCAAAACCTGAAACGTACACAAGAGTAGAGTAATGTGAGTGGGATACTCCTACCTGTGGCAGAGCCTTAGCGGTTTCCTCTGGCCCCCGCAGAGATGCAGGCAGGAGGAAAGCTTGGCTGGAGGACCCCCTGCCCCCTGTCCTGGCTGGCCAAACAACTCCCTCAGCGCCACGGACAGGAGCTGACAAGCCAAGGGCCCCACTGTACGCCTGTGTCCTCTCGACTGCCAGCCGAAGCTGTCAGGTCACTGAAAAGGGAGTACTTGGCTTTTCTCTAAGCACATTTGAATGAGATGAACAGGTTTAATTTCTGTGGGTGCCAACCACTCTCACCCTTCTCCTTGCCCAGTGCCAGTTACCCGCCAAAGGATCTAGGGGTAGATGTAGATGGACAGAGCAGCGAAGGCCCTGAAGGCGCCACAGCCAGGCACTGGGTGACCCCAAGAGCCAGGTAGTGCTGGGCCTTCGACAGGAGGCTGGGGAGACTCGACAACTCTTCAAGTATTTGGAGCAATCGGTGTTTTAAAATCCTCGCTGTCTAAGCTGTGTTCACCCCAACCTCTATTCATTCTCTTGTTCAGGACATTTTGTAATATGTGAAACATTTTTGTAATTAAAACTCTGAAGTGCCGATAAAATTTGACTCGAGGTTGCGTAACTTTCAAGATGATGAATGGCGTTTTGCTTTGCAGGACTCCTGCCAGCTCCCAGTGGCTTTGGTTCTGGAAGTGAAATGGACTAAATACGGCTCCTTACTGAACCCGCAGGCCAAGATAGTAAACGTGACTGCGACCTTGATCTCATCCGCGCTCAAGGTAAGCCTGGAGCCCCAAGTTCAGTCCTTGGCTTTACTCCCAAGAGCCACCCAAGCCCCGAGCACTGCTGGTGGGTGTGGCCCCGAACCCCAGCAAAGGAAAAATAAGTCCAGGTGAAACTCAAGTGTGATAGGTGAGGTTTATTTGTGATAAAGATTAAAATGGAAATAGCAGTCCTCTTCTAGAGAACAGAAACTTTACTGATAGTGGTTCCTTTCACACGCGTCTTACTTGGATTTGATCTTAAAATTCACACGTGAAAATTGAGGTGAGGTTGCTATTGATGTATTGATTGATTAGAACCACCTGAGTAAAACTTGTATTTTTTGGAAAAAAAAAATCATATCTCTTAGCCCTGTTAGTGGCTGAATGAGTGTCACATGGCCATTGGGTCGGCGGGTGACCGGCTGTCTGGGAGAAGGTGGCTCGTTTCTGCTGACAGACAGGCGAGGCTGCTGACTCGGCTTCTTCTTTCAGACCAGCCCCGGCGCTGAGAGGACAATTCTTATTTCCACGGCGGTCACCTTTGTGGACGTGTCGGCCCCGGCAGAGGCGGGCTACCGGGCTCGGCCCACCATCAACGCCAAGCTGCCTTTTGACTTCTTCTTCCCGTTTGTCTGACGTAAGCCCCCCACCCCTCAACGGTGTAAGGGCCCCAAGGCCCCCCGGAGAGGCTGCCCCCAAAGCAGACGGCCTCCTCGAGCCACGCATTCCCTCCTTTTTACCTTTTGGAAATTTTATTCTTTTGGGTTTGACTTTTTATGGTCTGGGGCATCTTTGATTCTGCTACTCTCCACCGAAGTGGAAACCAGGTGGCGCCTTTGAGAAGGCTGAGAACAGCCCTGAACTGGTGCAGGCTCTGCGGGTTTATCCCGTTTATCCATCGCCTCCTTGATGTGAGTTATTTAAAAAAAAAAAAAGTCATTGTTTGTAGTTCAGGTTTTCTTTCCTTTTCAGGTCTTGCTTGCGTATAAAAATAGCAACTATGGCAGGAAATCGTGCGCACACGAGACCTCCTGAGGGCTCTTTCCCCAAATGCCACGTTAATTATAGTGGAGTCTGGGCTAATTGCCGCGTCTCTGCCAGGCGCTGAAGCTAGCTGGCTCTCCCACGGGAGGCTGGCCAGGGACCCGCAGAGCAGCTGAAGCTGGGAAGAATCTAGTAGGAGGGCCCCTGGGAAGGAGAGGGCTTATTTATATGTTAATTGGACGGTAATTGAGAAAAATGTTGTCAGGGGGCAGAACTGGGTGGAGCCAGCTAGAAGCTGGAGGATGCCAGAGGGAGAGGAGGGGCCCCAGCTGGGAACCCCGGCCCTGGGGAGGCGAGCGGGGCGGGATCAAGGTGTCCACAGTGGGCTGGAGGCCAAGGGAGTGGTCCTTTCTCTCTCCTTTCCAGGGACAAGACCTGAAAGTTCGAGAAGCAGTTGGTGGGACGAGCTCAGAGTCGCGGCTAAGTCACCGGCCAGCTTTGTTCAGCTTGAAGCAAGAGTCAAGTGTTGAACGAGACGCAGGGTTTCGGGTGCGGGACGGGGAACTCTCCCAGCCAGAGAGGAGCTCGGGCCTTCCAGAGGCCTGTCCCCGCGGGAGCCACGCCAGGAGGCCGGGTGCCTAGCTCACGTCGCCCACCAGCCCATGCTGTCTCAGCAACTGGTTCAGCCGCTCAATTTCTTGCTCCTGTTGGTACAAGAGTAGAGGAAGGCCCAAACTGTGAGCCGTGGCCGCGAGACCTGGGGTACCCTGGGGCCTGGTGAGACGCTTGGGAAGGAGGTGACCCCTGGGCTCTGACTGAAAGGACCAGGGGCGCCAGGCCTGGTGACCGATGGGCATCCCCCAGGACTCTGATTACCTTCTCTGTGCAGCTGAACTCGAGGTGTTGAATCTTGGCCGCCAGCTGCGCATTCAGCTGCCTTAACCGGAGCAGTTGCCGTTCTGAGCGCGTCTTAACGGAGATGATTATCCCTGGAAAAGAGGCCTGGGTCTCAGCTCTGGAAAGAGAACCTGGCTTCCCGTCAGATGTTCCCCCCAGGGAAGAGCCATCGCCAAGGCATCTGGTGTGGAAGGTCATGGCCGCGCTGAGCCAAACGCTTCTCTGGCTGCTCAGGCTGGGAGAGCCCCGAGATGGTCCTTGGGGCTGGAGAGACAGGATGGCGGGCAGGGCGCTTGTCTGGCAAGCTGCTGACCCGGTATCCTGTGCCGTCCCCCAAGCAGATTCCAGAGTGCAGAGCCAGAAGTCACCCCTGAGCACTGCCAGGTGTGGCCCCCAAACCAAAAAATAAAAAGATCCCTGACCTGCCATGTGCGCAGCCCCTGCCTGCCACCCTCGTTCCTCCCAGCACCGGTGCTTGGCAGCTGTGTACCACTTGCACACGGGCCGACGGGGCGCCCAGAGTGGGCTGGGACCCTTCCTTCCCCCGCAGCTGCAGCCTCACAGTGTCAAGCCAAAAGGAGACCTCGACAGACGAAGGTCTGGGGTCTGGGCCTCACTGGATGGCCCCCAAATGCTCATGCTGCCCAGAGCTGCCTGTCCCTCCCCAAGAAGGCGTGAGCGCGGCGGCCCCTGGCATCTACATGCATGCGTGCCTTCGTGGCTGGCTGCTGTGGTTTTGGGCGGCCCAGCCCATCCGTGTCGCATGAAGTTTGACAGTGGTGGGGCCAGAGAGATAGCACACATAATACGCCCCACACATAACACGCCTGGGTGGGGCGTTGGCCTTGCACACGGCTGACCCAGGTTCCATCCCAGGCATCCCATATGGTCCCCCAGCACCGCCAGCAGTAATTCCTGAGTGCAGAGCCAGGAAGAGTCCCTGAGCATCGCCGGGTGTGTCCCAGAAAGCAAAACAAAAAAAGGTTTGTCAGTGGCACAGTAACAGCCATCGACCAGCCTCCCCAGCCCTGCCACGCTGAGACAAAGGAAATGGACAAGTCTTACACCTCTGTTGTGTTTTGTTTTTTGTTTTGGTGGAGGGGGTTAAGAAATGGAAGTTTCACAGTGGGGTAATGAGTTCAAAAGAGACTTATAATCACTAGTTTATCTATCTCAGTCAGACAGCGCCTTTTCCTGTCCGATGAATGAGATAATCAGCATGAGCACTTTACTAGGAGCCACAGGACCCAAATGAGTGTGCTACAGGGCCTGAGGGCCCAGAGAGACCCCAGAGCATTACATAGCCCACCGCCAAGGAGACACGCCCCTCACTGGTAGGGCGCACACTGGGGGGCAGCGGGCGGGAACCTGGGTGTCTGCCAGGAAGAACAGACCCACCGTCTCTCCAGATAGCACCCAAGGGTGCTGCACAGGCCTTAATGTGCGGGTCCCAGGTCAGCCTGGGAGCACTGCAGAAAAACCCCACACCTCTCACCACACTCCTTTTTTGGTTTGTTTTGGGGCCACACCCAGTGGTGCTCAGGGCTTACTCCTGGCAGTGCTCAGAGCACCATATGCGCTGCCAGACTTGGAATGGGCCGGCTGTGTGCGAGGCAAACATCTAACTCCTGTGCTCGCTCTCTGCCTCCCAGTTTCTCCACCTCTCTAAGAAAACCAAAGGGGGTGGCCTTGGAGCATGAGGGTAGGACAGTGCTTATCTTGCAAGCAGCCAACCTGGGTTTGATTCCCAGCACCCCATATGGTCCCCAGAGCCTGCCAGGAGTAATCCTCCAGGTGTGGCACAACCCCCCGCATGCCGCCACCCCCCCCAAATAAACTGAAGAGGCCCAGGCACATTTCTCAGGGGGACTGAAGCCTCCCTGAAGGTTAATTGAGGGGTCACAACAAGAGGCTAGGGGGCTGCTGGTAAAATGGAGAGGGTGTAGGAAGGTCAGAAGGACGCCACGGTCAAGGTAAGACCAAGAAACACTGGCCCAAGCACAGCCTGATGGCAAAGCATCTGCCCTGCCACACGAGACCCCGAGCTGGGTCCCCAGCACTGCCCTGGCACGGTGGCACTGCCACTGGGAGCCCTGGCATCACAATGCCGCATGACTGGCACACCACAAACATGTGGCCATGAATGCAGAAATCAAAATATGTGAGCTCGTACGCAGGATGCAGCCGTGTGTGTGTGTGTGTGTGTGTGTGTGTGTGTGTGTGTGTGTCCCTGAGCTTTCTGATGGGACAGAGCAAACAGCGGCCTGAAGCCCGCCTCACAGGTGGCCCATCCCAGCTCAGTCCCGGCACCGTGCAGCCCCTTGAACTCTGCCAGGTATAGCCTGGGGTCCCTTGGGTACTGCCTGGATGGCCTTTATGGGCCCCGAGCATCAGGCCATCACCACACCGCACCATCAAGCTGTCACACTGAAACTCCTGGCAGAAAGGGTGCCCCCGGAAGCACCCCTTCCCCAACAAAAATGACTGACTCAGCAGGTTCACAGCATTCTAGCAACCCTGACCGGTCCAGTGCACTGGGGACGTTTAAATAACCAGGGACCCTCTGTCCACGTGAAGCCAGCTTGTCCTGGCTCCCGCAGGGGCTGTGCTGGGGATAGGACTTCCCGCGGAGGGTGGTAAAGCAGCCGTTCACGGTCAACAGGTGAACAGGTGATCCCAGGAAAGCGGCACGTCCTCAGAAGGCACGTGCCTCAGCATGCGTGGCTTCTGAGCGGAGAAGCTGACTGGCACCCCATTGGGACGGGCCCGTCCTGAGGAGTGATGGGGTTTGTGAACACATGCTAAGGAAACCCCAATCAGAAACGGGAGACATGGGAACCAAGCCAGGAGGGGACCATGTATCAGTCTCTGCTTTCCAGTTCCCTTTGTTTTTCTTTTGTTTTGGGGGCCACATCTGGCAATGCTCAGAGTTACTCAGAAATTACTCTGGGAGGTGCTCGGGGGATTATGGGGTGCTGGGTATTGAACCCGGGTCAGCTGTGTGCACGGCCAGTGCCCTCCCCGCTGAACTGTTTCTCCAGTCCCTCCAGGTCCCTTTCACGATGCAGGTGCGCAAGGCCTCCTGATACGCATGCGCAAGCAGCCCTGCCTCTCCCCGAGGGTCCCTGAGGGGGCGCGGCTGGAGGGCGCCCCATCCTGGAACAGCCCCCCCCGCCACCCCCGGACGCAGGGCACCTACCATTAACGATCCGTGCCACCCGCCACAGCCGCAGCAGGATGAGCAGACTGAGGGCCTCAAACTCGTGCTCCCAGAACACGAGGACGATGTCCAGGACAAAGGACACCACCACCACGATGGTGTCCAGGATCTCAAACTTGTGGTGGAAGAACTCGAGGCGGAAGACGAATATTTTGAAGAAAATCTCCATCATGAAAAGGGTCAGGATGGCGATGCTCAGGTAGTGGAACACCTGCAGGGACAGGAGTCACGGTGAGAGGCCCGGCTGGTCCCCACGGCAGCTGGGCCGAGTGAGGGGGCGGGCCAGGGCTAAGACAGCAAATTCACCAGGTGCTGGGCCTCGCGGTTCTGCCCAGAGGAGCAAATCCCGCAGCTGGAGCTCAGGCAGGCACAGATGCCCGTGAGGAGAGTCCCAGCCACCAGGGGCTGCGGAACAAAAGACTGGAGACTGACCCAGCAGCTGACCGCAGGCTCTGGCCAGAAACCATCACCAGTGAGTGGAACGAGTTTCCACCTCTTGCTTTGCAGAGAGCGATCTTAACAAAAGGGACCTTTCTGGGCAGGGACAGGGAAGGACAGTCAGTGGGGACATCCAGAGGCAGCAGGAAGCTGGCCAGGGACTTGCACACAGGACTCAGCTGTCAGTACGGGCACCGTGACCGTGAGTGCGAACAGTGAAGCGCGGAAGAACCCACAGGGCAGGAAGACATACATGCATGGGCTCCACTCACCACGCGGAGGTTTTTCTTAATAAAAGGACACCAGCCCCCAGGTGTTGGGGGGAAGTGGGGCGAGAAGGCACGAGCGCACCCTACCCCTACGGGTGCAGTCAGGCAGGGAGAATGTACAGACACACTGAGGGGCGGGGAAAGAGTGCAGGGGGCCCTCTCTCTGCACAGCCCCCAGGAACACATTTGAGTGTGGTCCCAAGCACAGCCCGCCTGGACTCGGTATGGGCTGGTGGCCCCCAAGCACAACTGGGAGTGACCCTGGCCCCCTAAGCACAGTGTGGTCTCACCCTCTTTTTTAAAAAAGGCATTCTTGGGACCAGAGCAAAATACAGCAGGTAGGGCATTTGCTTTGTATGCAGCCAACCCAGGTTCAATCCCTGGCATCCCCTAGGATACCCCAGCACTGCCGGGAATGATTCCCAAGTGAAGAATCAGGAGTGCCACTGGGTGTGGCCCCAAAAAGCCAAATAAGTAAATAAAAAATAAAATTAAGGGGGCCGGAGTGATAGCACAGCGGGTAGGGCATTTGCCTTGCACACGGCCCGACCCGGGTTCGATTCCCAACATCCCATATGGTCCCCCGAGCATGGCCAGGAGTAACCCCTGTGCATCGCTGGGTGTGACCCAAAATGCAAAATAAAGTTAAATAAATAAATAAAATTAAAAAGACATTCTTGGGACAAATGAGGAAATTAGAATACAAGCAGGCTGTTACTGACTTTAACTGGGGATATTGATTTTTTTTATGAGAACATCAGAGGTAATTATGGTTCTTAGACACACCGAAGTATTTAGGAGCGCAGTGCCTTGATGTCTGACTTTGAAATGGCCAGACACAAATATTTAGGTGTTGGTATGGAGTGGTAGTACAGCAGGTAGGGTGCTTGCCTTGTCCCCAGCCTACCAGGGTTCAATCCCCGACATCCCATATGGTCCCCTGAGCACCACCAGGAGTAATTCCTGAGTACAGAGCCAGGAGTAACCCCTGGCCATTGCTTGGTGTAACCCAAAAAGAAAAAAAAAGAGCTAAATATTTAGGTGTTAAAGGATGTCAAGAGAAGTATAGAAAAAGTCATAAAAAGAAGCGAGAAGGCACGAGAGCCAGTACAACAGGGCGTTTCCCTGGGCGTGTGGAGAGCGGAGTTGGGCGGCAGGGAGGAGCGGGACTCTGAAACGGGAGCCCCAGAATCAAAGGAGAATTCCGTTGTCCAAAGGCAGTGCGGCAGCTGCTTCGAGACCCAACTTCCCACGGTGCTGCTGCTGGCCATGAGGTCTGTTTGGGGGCACCTGCCACTCTTGGGAGAGTGTCCAGGACTGGCGCGGGCAGTCAGTGTGGATGGGGAGCAGGTGGGGATCCCCAAGAACCTGGGCCAGGAGAGCCGGGTGACATGAGCTCTCAGGGACGCATCCGCTGTGGCGACTTCCCGCGTGCACGGGCGGAAGCGTTTTCTCTGCTCAGGGACTAGAAGTACCTCGCGAGCCCCCCAGCCAGGTCGTGCTTCTCCCCCCACTGCCCCAGCTCAGGGCGGACACTTTACCCTGGCAGCATAGTTGTTCCTGTCGGGCTGGATGATCTTCAGGTCCAGGATGAGCTCGGCGAGCACCAGCAGCGCGTCCAGAACCACCAGGCAGATGATGATGACCTGCGGGCCAAGGGGGGGCATGAGGACCACCAGGTCATCTCCACCCACCACCCGTGCCAGGGTTGCCTGACCCCACAGGGGCCTTTCAGCTGACCAGCTCCTTCTCACTCTCAAACCAAACCAGTCAGCTCTTGTGGCAAAACCAAGAACAACAAGTTCCCCCAGAGTTTCCCCTTTTCTATGTCTGGGGCTGTCTCACGCCTAGAGCAAGTGCACAGTTGAAGAGCTGGAAACGCTCAGCCTCAGAGTGCCATCGGGAAAGGAACTCGAAGCCTGGCCGCCTTGGGTACTCGGGCGGCAGAGATGCCCACCCTGCACAGAACAGCTTGCCAGCGGCAGGGCGGTCCCTTTGGGTGCAGAGGGCTGGGGTTCTGCAAGGGAGGGGAATTGCCATGGTGGGGGAGGGGCGTGCAGGCTCCATAACCGGGGGTGGAGGGAGATGTGGGGGCCTGGCTGGGGTCAGCGAGGGTCGCACAGTGGTCTGGCAGCCAGAGAGGCAGCAGCACTGAGGCATTCGGGGGGGGGGGGGTTCACAGCGTGTCTCCTCGCTGGCCTCAGCCACTCTGGACCATCATTTCTTCTCCAGGCCGTGTCTCTTAGGTTCCCAGGAGGGGGAATCTGACCCTCGCAATCAATCAGCCGTGGTCTGCCAGTGTCAGCAGTTCAGGCTGAGACAAAACGGCTCAGTCCGAGTATGGCCTCCTTCGCCTTGTGACCATCCCGAACTGTGGCTGATTGTGGCAGCGATCAAAGCTCCCACCAACCAACTAGCTGCCATGGAAGCTCACCTACTGGCCTTGTTCCGGAGAATCATAAGTAAATCTTGGAAGACATCTACTAGCCACAAAAATTTCTTTGACACCAGTCCCTGGCTGAGACCTCCAGGGCACTCTCAACGTCAGTGCCTGCCCAAACAAAGCCCCAGCAGTCACTTGCTCCTACACTCCAAAGTGGCCGCCATGCCTCTGGCCAGACTCCATTACCTCAGGACTGAGCCTACAGAGAACTCAACCTGCCAAAATTCAGGTGCACGGGTTCCTATGACTGAGAGCTCAAGGCCTTCTCGGGGTTGAGACAGGATACCTCCACCCACCTGCCTGCACCTCTGGAAGCCCTGACAGTCACACCCACACCCGAAGCTGCTGCCCAGTTAAAAATTTAACTCCAGGTGCTGGAGCGATAGCACAGCTGGTTGGATGTTTGCCTTGCACGCGGCTGACTCGGGTTCGATTCCCAGCATCCCATATGGTCCTTTGAGCACTGCCGTGAGTAATTCCTGAGTACATGAACCAGGAGTAACCCCTGAGCATCACCAGGTGTGACCCAAAAAGCAAAAAAAAGAAAAAAACCAAAAAATTTTACTCCGGGGGTTGGATCAGTAGTTGGGTTGGAGAGGGTGTTTGCCTTGCACGTGGCCAACCTAGTTTCAATCTCCGGCATCCCATATGGTCACCTGAGCACTGCCAGGACTAATTCCTGAGTGCAGAGGCAGGAGTAACTTTGGAGTATCGCTGGGTGTAACCCAAAAAACAAAAATTTAACTCCAGCTGGAGTTAAACCATCCAGTTAAACATTCTGGCTTCCCTGGAGTGCAACAGCTACATTCACTGCCATGTGACATCTCCAAACTCTATGACACTGACATCCCAGTCGGGGCACATCAGATTGGATGGGATGTAACGCAGAAGCCAACCAGTTTCACTAACCAAAAAACTAACACAGAAGGCTTAACTTGTAACATCTTAGTAATCCCTCCGACAAAGACTTGATGTCCCCATGGTGAGATACAACAATTTTCACTAGTTTTCTTTAAGGAGATATTTTTTGATCATTCTCTTAGCAATTTATTAGTAACAAGCAATATAAAATAAGTTACTGTGGGCCTGCTACGGAGGCAGGCTTGAGGGGTGGCTGGGAAAATGGAGACAGTGGTGGAGGGAAGGTGACGGTGGTGGTGGGTTTGGAGTTGGAATATTGAATGCCTGGAACAAATCACCATGAACAATTTTGTAAACCCAGCATTCAAATAAATAAATGTGTGTGGGGGGGTGGGGTAGGGTGCAAAAAGATAACTAAATAAAGCATCTGATGCGGGGGTCTAATAAAGCATCTGATGCGGGGGTCTGCTATGAAACTTGAGGTAAGCTGCTTCGGAATGAAGTTTCACATCTCTCCACACCCAGGGGCCTGAGAGAGGTTCAGTCCTCGAGTGACTGTCCCCTTTCATCCTTCATCCTTGGTCTGAGGAGCCCGAGGGAGCTGAGAGCTTCTTTTTTTTTTCTTTTTGGGTCACTCCCAGCAATGCTCAGGGGTTACTCCTGGCTTTGCACTCAGGAATTACTCCTGGCGGTGCTTGGGGGACCCTATGGGATGCTGGGGATTGAACCCAGGTCGGCCGCATGCAAGCACTACCCACTGTGCTATCGCTCTGGCCCTGGGAGCTGAGAGCTTCTTAATACCAAGACAGGGAGTATTAGAAACGGACTGTGCCGGGAAGGGGCCGTGAAGGGGAGGCACCCTGGTGACCGGCTGTCCGGGAAAGAATCCGACAGAGCAGAGGGTCTGTGACTTGGCTGATAGAGGGTCTGTGACTTGGCTGATGAGCAGAACAGGCGAATCCACTGAGATACAGAGGCTAAGGCGTAACTGGTTCGGGGTTCCAGGGCAGCCTATGGGATGTGAAAATTTTTCTCAACTAAGGAGTGATGGGATAGCGAGACCACCCTGTGAACGCACTAGATGTCACTGAACTACTCACTTTGAAATGATTAGTTACATAGATCTCACCCGAAGGAAAGTCACAAAATGGCAAACCCTGTTCTGCAACAGGTCTCTGAGGCCCTGGACTTGCCAGCTCACAGCAGAACCAACCAACTCCCTCACAGGCATCAAACCTGGGTCCCAGGCACCGAGACAGGAGGCCTGGCACGATCACCCCTCAGCCTATGTGGAAGGACCCCCTCCCCCACCTCCTGCCAATTTCAAGCTATAACTAATTATTGCAGCAATTAAATCCACATTGCCAGCCCTATTCAGTTTTTCTGACCAACATGCCGAGGATTTGTTACCCTGGGGGTCCAAAACCACACAGCAGAAGTGCCATCTGTACTTCTATGTTCACTGCACGCTATTCGCAATAGCCAGAAGCCGGAAACAACCTAAGTGCCCGAGAACAGATAAATGGATGAAGAAATTATGGTACATCTACACAATGGAATATTACGCAGCTGTTAGGAAAAAATGAGGTCATGAAATTTGCCTATAAATGGAGTTGTGCTGAGTGAAATGAGTCAGAAGGAGGGACAAGACAGAGAATGTCTGCATTTATTTATGGGATATAAAAAAAAAGTATGAAACTAATATCCAAGGCCAGGGAAAATGGACAAGGGTGTCAGGGGTGGAAGGTAGATAGGACAGAGGAGGGTCCAGTATGAAATAGTAGTTGGAAATGATCACTCTGGACAAGAATTGAGTGTTGAAAGTAGGTAAAGGGATATAATGATAACCTTTCAGCATCTGTATTGCAAACCGTAATGCCGAGAGAGAGAGAGAGAAAGAAAGAAAGAGAGAGATGTGCCTGCCATACAGACAGGTTGGGTTGTGTGTTGGGGAGAGGGTTGGGGGCAGGGGGAGAGGAAAACTGGCGACACTGGTGTTGGCAAATTACACTGGTGAAAGGATGGGTGTTGCTGGAACATTCTATGACTGAAACCCAATCATGAACAGCTTTTTAATGCTCTATCTCAGGGCAATTCAATAGAGTAAAAAATTAACACTAAAAAAAATGCTGAGGATTTGGGAAGCCGAGTTAGCCGAAATGCCCAGGGCAGAACAGCTGGCGGGGTTGGGAGGAGACTCCCTGTCCCTCACCCCATCCTAGTCACCCCCCCAGTCCTCCTGGGCTCAGCATTGCCGGGAAGGGGCCTCCGCGCCCAGGGGTGGGTGTCCAGCCACAGCGAGCAGGCGAGGAAAGTTGTTCCTGGGCCCTCAGGATCCGCCAAACCCCAGACAGTCCCTGGTGCTGGGCCCCCCACTTCGCGTCCGGGGGAGCAGAAGGAGACACAGCCCCAAAAGGGATTCCAGAAGCTTCTGCGCGCAAAGCCCCAGCACTGCCTCTGCGGGGGCAGTATCCCCACTCCCACCCACATCCAGCCTGGCCTGCCTCCTGTCGGCCCATGCAGAACCTTCCAGAGCCTTCTCCCTTGCAGAACACTCCCGAGGTGCCCCAGACCCGTTAGCTCAACGGCCCCTCCTCAAGCCTCCACTTGGGCCTCCGTGTCGGCCAACTCCGAGCCACGTGGAAAGTTGCTTCTCGGAATCAGCATCCGTCGGCCCGTTCTGGAAGCCCCCTCCCCCCGCCCCCCCCAGCGACTCCCCCCATGACCGGGGCATCCCCACCAAACCCCCGCACCCCACCCCCTTGCCTCCTAACAACAGCAGGTGCTAAGAAGCGACTTGTTCCCCAAGAGAAGCCTCCCTGGGGGGTCCCAGCAGGGGGTGGGGGGGCGGGGGAGGGCTCCTCCTTGAGGGGGCGGCCGGGGCACCCGGCAGCTGGCTGCTTCCTTCTGCGCCTGAAATTGGGGGTTTGGGATTTCAGCCCCGATGGCTTAATAGCAACTTTCCTCTCCTGTCACGGGGGCGGCACGGAGGGGGTGGGGGTGGGGGGAGGCGGCCTGTCAGCCCGCGGGAGAGAAACCGAGGAGGGGGGGTGAGGCGCACCGTGCCCAGGAGTGGCTCCATGGGCAGGACAGAGGTAGCAGAGAAGGCGATGCCGCCTGCTGGGCGCCAGGGTCTGGGGGTACAGCTTGGAGGGGTCACTGGCTCAGCCGTCTCTGTCCTTCCCAGTCATGGAGCCAAGGACTCGCCTGGCTGCAGGTCCTTCCACACGGGGCGTTTTCTGTTCCTGCTGGTGCCCGCACCTGACTGGGCAGCGGCTGAGCCTGGCCAATCTTTCTCTGTCACCCCACAGCACAGGCTGCCAGCGCCGGCGCCACGTGTGGGTGCCAGGGGCCCCCACGGCCTGCTGGGCCACTGCCTGGCCCCGGCTCCTGCTTCGACGATTTGCTGAGGGGCTGTGAACCGATTTGCCTTATAAAATTCCCCACCTCGACGCTGGCATGAAGCTCAGTGGCATGAAGGGCATGAAGCCCATTCACAAGCTCCTTGCCACGCTCAAGTTCCAGAACCTTCTCACCCCTTGCAGATGGGAAACATCCAGAAGCTGCCCTCCAGCCCTCCCGCCCTCCCCCAACTAGCGGGGACCCCAGTCTGCTCTCGGCCTCCTGGGTTGAGGTGCTCTGCACATTTCCCACCTGCTGGGGGACCTGGGGGCGGTCTTGGGGGTTTGGCCGCTCTCAGCCAGCACCATGGGGGGGCAGCCTTGGCGGGGACGCGCAGTCTGTCGACAGGTGCTGGATATTTAGGGGACTTTTCATCACGACTCATTTTTTCCCCTCAACAACAGGCGACCTGGCTGGGACAGACGGGTGGGTGCGGGGCGCCATGAGCGAGGGGGTGGTGGCAGAGACGGGTGCCCACGCCTCGGGCCCCGGGGGGCTCGGCCCACCTTACCTGAAAGCGGTGAGAACTGAAGAGCTTCCTCAGGGAGGTTCTGAACTGTGCTGGGGGCCGGGGCCCAGGCTGGGCGGGGGCGGCGGCCCCTCTGCCCTCCTCCGCCGTGGCCGTCGAGGGCTCCTCCTCGTCTTCCTCCTCCTCATTCTCCCACTTCTTGTAGTTGAAGTTCCAGGTGTGGTAGTCGTCCCCCGCCACGGTGAAGTGCCGCAGGAACTTGCTCATCCTCTCGGTGCTGCCAGCCGCCTTGGCCCTGCGGGTGGCTGCCTGGTAGGGGACAGGGAGGCAGCGCTGGGCGGGGCGGCCCGCCGGGACCCCCCACCCTACCCCGCCACCCCCGCGCCGACGGGGAGCGGCGCAGGCACTGGGTCACGGCGGTTTCTCGTGATTGTATTTTTGGACTCCAGGGACGCGGGCCTGTGAAGCAACAGGAAACCCCTGGCAGGCCTGTCTGTGGCTGGACCCACGCGATCGTCCTGCAGGGCCCCCAAGGTCCCCAGGCATAAAGGACCCTCATAGGACGCGCGACATGCTGGAAGAGCCTTCCCAGGCTAAGAGCTGGGCCGGGCAGAGCCTAAAGTAAAAGTACCCCGAGTTTCACTAAGAGCTGGGGCCGCCTTCCTGCCACGGATGATGGGGCCGCCCAGCCTGAAGCCTCAGACACACCCCGGATAGATTCATGGCAGGACGCCCCCCCAGACCACGGGTGTCAGCGAGGAAGAGGAAGCAGATGAGCTAGCCCAGAGGCCCGGGCTCAGGAAAATCCCAAGTGAACCACCACAGGCTCCTCACATTGCCATGTTTCATTTGTGGCCGACAACAGCCAGTGCTGGATTAGGGGTGAGGCCAGGGGCTCCCCCCCAGAGTGTAGGAAGGGGCATGGGTGCCACCAGCCAAGGAACTGGCCCCGCGGAGTTTGTGTGTCTCTGAATGAAGTCCCTACTCTCCAAAGAGAAGCTTTGCCACATCTGCTAGAATCAGAGCCCCGTTCCAGAGTGTTCTCTGCAAAGGTGCCCCATCATGGCGGGTATTTCTTCAATGCACAAGCCCGGGGCACTGGCGACACCTCGCAGCCCCATTCAAGGGTCCCCACGCCCCACTGCCCTTTCTCCAAACACCCCCTCCCCGCGACCTGGGGTTCCACTCTCCTGACTCAGGAGACGCTTCTAGCCCCCGCTGTTTGCTGGAGTCCTTCAGAGGAAACTTCACACATTCGTTGCTGGGCCACACCTGACAGTGCTCAGGGATCACTCCCGGAAGAGCTTGGGGGACCCTCTGGGGTGTCAGAAACAAATCCAGACTGACCGCGTGCAAGGCAGGCTCTCCCCTCACGGTGTGTGCACTCTCTCTCTCTCTCTCTCTCTCTCCTCTCTCTCTCTCTCTCTCTCTCTCTCTGTCCCAAGACCTCGCATTTTTGGTATTGGTTACACCAAACTTGGACCCGAGGCGGCATCTACATTCCTGGGGGTCCCTCAGCGCCACAGCTGTCCCGGGATGGTGGCCTTGATGAGCTCCAGACACGAGGCGCGGCCCTGACCAGCCTTTGCACAGCCATCTGGGAAGTGCACAGAGCACAGACGGCCCATCCCGGAGCGGCCTGGCCTTCCACTCCCTGGATTCTCTCTCCTGCTCCCTGTTTACCTCACCAGACACTGTGGGCGCTGTTCAGAGACTGTTTCAAGACAGACATTTCTCTCATGGCCACTTCTCTGCCCTGCCCAGTGCTGGTAATTTCTAGCTCTCTGGGGCCTCCCACCCTCTCTCCAGAGAGCGACCAGAAAGAACTTTCTAGCACATCAATGAGATCATGCCCAGCCCTCCCTGGAACCCCATAAAGCTGGGCCCACGCACAGAGTCCCCTCTTCCCGGCGATGTCCACCCCCACGCCCCCATCTCACTGTCGCATAGCTCAGGCTTCAGCTCAAAGCTCTCCCTGCCCGGACAACCTCCCTCCTCCCAGGGGCATGCTGTGCCCCCTCCCTTCCTCGTCTCTCCACGGCACGCACGGCTGGCTGGCGTCCACTTGTCCTCTGCTGGCCACCTGCCTCCCCCAGGACATGGTCCTGAAACGCCACAGGAGCCAGACGGTTTCCGGTTCCCTCCCGGGCACCGGGCACCAGAAAGTCGCTCTGAACAGAGGCTCAAAAACCGCTGGGATTGAAGTGACAGAAGCAACGTGGGGAGGCGGAAGGAAGGTCTAGAGATGAGTGGAGAGAATGCCGCCCATGCAAAACATTTTCCATACATGCAAAAGCCCCGTTCTTTTTTTGGGACGAGTGAAACCGTTTCAGAGTGTAAACGTGCAAAATCATGAAATTTCTGGGCACGCTCGAGTGGCTCGCCCTCCTCCTCCCTCCGTGAGCCCTGCCACGCAGACAGCTCTAAATGGACACGCGTGACCTTCCCTTGCTCCCCACGAGTTGTCAAGAGGATGAGGGAAAGGAGCTGGGGGCCCCACTGTGCTGGGCACCAGCCCACAGGTATGCGACAGACATTGTGCTGAGGGTGGCCGAGCCCCGCCCCCTCAGGACCCGCAGTGCTCCAGAGAAAGGAAGCCGTGCAGAGAGAAAAAGCGCCCCACACTGGCCTGCCCTGAATTTTTGGGGGGGTCACACCCAGCACTGCTCAGGGGTTACTCCTGGCTCTATGCTCAGGAATTACTCCTGGCGGTGCTTGGGGACCATATGGGATGCCAGGGGCTGAACCTGGGTCGGCAGCATGCAAGGCAAATGCCCTACCTGCTGTACTATTGCTCCGGCCCCTTGCCCTGAATTTTAAACAGCAAAAGTGCCACCAGAGAGAGTCGGGTTGGATGGGAGCAGTGTGAGTGCCCAGAATCGGGGCAGAGCAGCCATGGACACAGGCGACTTACCAGACATCCCAGAGTGGCCAGAAGCAGACCTCACCGAGCCGGCCACAGCCAGGTTCCCCTTTACCAGGAATGTGGCTTACTTGCCTTGCATGGATGAAGCCCTGGGTTCAATCCCAAGAACCACACACATACGCACATACACACATTTGCAATTTTGAAGTTTTCCAATTCTGAGTCCCTAGTTCAATCTTGGGACCTCTGTCCCCCCAGTTCCCCAGGGGTGACCCCCTCCCAAACATGGCATTACTGGGAGGAGCCCAGAGCATCCATAATGTCCATCGTACAATAATAAATGACTGGTCAAAGAAGCAGAAAAAAAAGTGTGGCCCCCAAACTAGTAGAAAAAGTAGCTGATTCATTGCAAATGGATAGACCTCGGCCAGCAAAGACTTGAAAATAGTTGTTACAGATACGTTGGGGAGAGGGAGAATTTCAAGGAAACCATGAAATATGGGAAAAGATCATTTCCTCAGGGAAATGGAAGCTCTAACAAATACCCAGATGGACTTTCCAGAACTAAAATTACAACCAGGAGATGAGTGAACCGTCACTGGATGGCAACCCCCTCAGCGCGGGATCATTGACAAGGGGTGGAGAGAAGTCAGGGGAGGTCCCGATTGACCCCAGCACCTCCCGGAACCCTGAGCACACAGTCAGGAGCATCACCAGGTGCAGCCCCAAAACCAACCAACCAGAGATCAGGGAACGTAGACGACGCAATAGGAACTGTCTAGTGGGATAGAGAGAAGACTGGAGGAGGGTGTTTGGGGGGATGGGGGGAGAAACAGCGCGCAAGGTAGAGGCAGGTGACCTGGAGTCCCAAGACGAAGGAGAGAGACCAGGGCAGAAAAGTATCTGGAGAAATAGCGGGGGGAAAAATTCCACTTCTGGGAGCCAGAGAGTGCAGTGGGAAGGCGCTTATCTGGCATGCACCAGACCCAGATTCGATCCCCGTCATCCCATACGGTCCCCTGAACCCCGCCAGGAGAGGTCCCTGAGTGCAGAGCAGGACTAAGCCCTGAGCACTGCTGAGTGTGTCCCAAAACAAACGCAGAAAAAAAATCAACGTTTGAGTCAGGGAGAGAGCAGGAGACCCAGGACCAGGATCGTAGGAGTCCCAGAGCAGAGGAATTGGACAGGCAGAGCGGGCAGGGCTCAGGGCACATGCCTGCTCTGTGCCCAGTCTGGGCTCAATCCCTGGTACTCTGCAGTCTTCAGATCATTTCTGGATGTGGCTCTGGAATCCCCTGAGCACTGCTGGTGGGGTGCTGGGGCAGGGGTCATGGTACTGCATCCTCTGAACTGGTGACTCTGGGGGCCCCTTGGGCAACTTTTTTCTCAGTCAAACTGGCTGGGTATTTCATATGGTTTACCTATTTTTTTTTTTGGTTTATTGAGCCAGAACTGACAGTGCTCAGAGGTTTTTACTCCTGGATCAGTGCTCAGCAGTCATGCTCAGCAGTGCTCAGGGGGTTCTATGGTACCAGGGATCAAAGGAGGGCCACACACTCAACCTGGGTGTTTTGTTTTTTTTTTTTTGCTTTTTAGATCACACCCGGCGATGCACAGGGGTTACTCCTGGTTCTGAACTCAGGAATTACCCCTGGCAGTGCTCAGGGGACCATATAGGATTCTGGGAATCGAACCCGGGTCAACCGTGTGCAAGGCAAACGCCCTACCTGCTGTGCTATTGCTCCAGCCTCAACCTGTTTTTTGTTTTATTTTTTAAAATGTTATTGAATCACCGTGAGATAGTTACAAGCTTTCATGTTTGGGTTACAATCACACAGTGATCAAACACCCATCCCTCCACCAGTGCACGTTCCCCACCACCAACATCCCCGGTATACCCCCGCCCCACCTTTCCCACACTCAGCCTGTTGAGCTCTCTCAGGGCTGGCTTCATATGGTCTACCCTAATATACGCATACCTGTTTGGGGCTGTTTTTAATCATATAATCATGTGCAGAGAATATGTTAATGTTCACTACAAACAAAGAGACAATGTGAAGAAGCAAGATCTCACCAAGATCTCATCCCGAGCTGGCCAGCGTCCTTCCTACCCAGGACACGCTGGCCATGAGGAGAAGCAGGGCAGGGAAACTCGACTTTGGGACCAGGGCGATAGTCCAGTGTGTGTGTGTGTGGGGGGGGGGGAGGCATTTACCTTGCACTCGGCTGACCCAGGTTCGATCCCCAGCATCCCATATGGTCCCCTGAGCACCTCCAGGAGTAATTCCTGAGTGCGGAGCCAGGAGTGACCCTGAGCATCGCCAGCTGTGGCCCAATAAAGTCAAAAAAAAAAAAAAAGAAAGAAAGAAAAAAAGAAAGCAGGACTTTCTAGCAACCAGAATGATGTTGTTCTTTTGGGGAGGTGTGTGGGGGGAGGGGTGGGTCATCCTGGAGGTGCTCGGGGGCTACTCCTGGCTCTGTGCTCAGGGAACTCTGTGGTGCTGGGACTCACCAGAAGAGCCCACCTGCCCGGCTAGGGCCTTCCCTGCTGTACACTTAGACAGGGAGTGACCACGCCCCCTCCAGGATCCTCCCCGGCTCTGTCACCTGGCCCTACTCACGACCCCCAGAGTCAGAGTGGGTGCGGCCGCTCCTGCGAATCCCTCGGGGCCCCTCCCCTCCCTGGGGGTCCCTATTTTTAAGATCAGGGAAGTCCTTAAATAAGCACAACCGTAGTTGCTTTTCCTCTGCAGGGCCGGGGAGGAAGTTTGAGGTTTGTGCGAACAAGCCCCCGAGATGATGTGGGGCCTGCAGCAGCCCGTGCTCCTAGACCTTCCTCTTCCGCTGAGGTGAGGCTGCCCCCTCCCCAAGCCAGGAGCACTCACGGCACTCCCCAGAGCCTCCGCAGCTCTGCACACGGCCCTGCAGAACAGGGCGCAGCTGGGAGAGCGCTCGTCTTGCACACGGCAACTTGGCTCGGATCCCCGGCGTCCCATAGGGTCCCCTGAGCCCACCAGGAGTGATCCCTGAACTCAGAGCCGGGAGTCAGCCCTGAGCACAGCCAGGAGTGGCCCCAAAAGACAAAACCAAAGCAAAAGCACTAGACAAAGGCTGGAGCACAGTGGGGAGGGCACTTGCCTTGAACACAGCTGACCCAAGTTTGATCCCCAGCACCCCATGTGGTCCCCAAGCCCTGCCTGCCAGGGGTGAGCCCAGAAGAAGCCATCACGACGGCACCCCGGTGAGCCCCGGAGGATTCTCAGCGTTCTCTCCTCAGCACTGGGGCACCACTGATGTCGCGAGCCCACCAGAACGGACAGACGTACCTTTACATCCAAGGTGGCCATGGTCCTGGGTCTCTGGCCCTGTAAAGAGAGGATACGTACACAGACCCGTTACCTCTGCGGGCGCTCTTCTGTGTGTTTCGCTACACTGACAAGTTACTGCACTTTTTTTTGGGCGGGGACCACACCTGGCAGTGCTTGGTGGCTACTCCCCGTGGGCGGTTTGGGGGTGTAGGACCTGGAGCCCCACCTGCAAAGCACGTGCTCCAGCCCTCTGTGCCATCTCTCTGCACACGTACCTATACATGCTCAGAGATCACTCCTGGGGGGGCTCAGGGGGGCCCATGTGGTGCCAGGTCTACACGCTATCACCCCAAAGTAATTTTTTTTTTGCTTTTTGGGTCACACCCAGCGATGCTCAGGGGTTATTCCTGGCTCTGCACTCAGGAATTATTCCTGGCGGTGCTTGGGGGACCATATGGGATGCCGGGGATTGAACCCAGGTCAGCTGCGTGCAAGGCAGACGCCCTACCCACTGTGCTATCACTCCGCCCCCCCCAAGTAATTTTTAAAGAAGGTGACATACGCATGTCATAAAAATCTTAACCTCAAAGATGTATTTTAATATCTCCCCTGCCCTCCTGCCCTCCCCAGAAGCAGCAGGTATTGTTGGGTTCTGTTCTGTTTTAGGGTTGTTGCTGCGTGTGTGTGTGTGTGTGTGTGTGTGTGTGTGCGCGCGCGCACCCAGCTGTGCTCAGGACTTACTCCTGACTCTGCACTCAGGGATCAATCCTGGTGGAAATAGGGGGACCATAGGGGATGCCGGGGATCAAACTCGGGTCGCCTGTGCACAAGGCAAACACCCTCCCCACTGTCTTGTCACTGGGGAGGGGTGTGTGGAAGGGACCAGAAGCAGCTACTCTTCCCAGTGTCCTGGAAGCCCCGGGGGTGGTCTCCATCCATCCCTTCCCCCCTCATGGCTGCAGCTCAGGACGCACACACAGCTCCGACCCTGATCTCTGTGGTTCTCGAAGTCTGGGACTCGTCAAGGGACTCCCCTGAGGATGGGATTCAATGTAGGATCTGGAGCTGGGTGGGGTCAGGCGGGGCCAATGGGGCGGGAAGTGCAGGAGAATCGGAGCTTTCAAACAGGTGAGGCGAACTGGGGTCGAGGGAGAGAGCTGCACCAGGAGATAATGTTGCTGTCACTCCGGCCCCGCATATCACGAATTTTTTTTCACACCCGTCGATGCACAGGGGTTACTCCTGGTGATGCTCGGGGGACCATATGGGATGCTGGGGATCAAACCCAGGTTGGCCACATGCAAGGCAAATGCCCAACCCGCTGTGCTATCGCTCCAGCCCCAAAATTCCTTTTTCTTTCTTTCTTTTTTTCTTTTTGGGTCACACCCGGTGAAACACAGGGGTTACTCCTGGCTCTGCACTCAGGAATTACTCCTGGCGGTTGTCAGGGGACCATATGGGATGCTGGGAATCGAACCCGGGTCGGCCGCGTGCAAGGCAAACGCCCTACCCGCTGTGCTATCGCTCCAGCCCCATCCAGCCCCAAAATTCTTAACCCTAAAGATGTATTTGAACATCTTCTCCATCCTCCCGCCCTTCCCAGAAGAGGGAAACAGGTAAGGACTGTCCCGCCAAGGCACTGGGTGCTGCTAGATGCTGCCAGAGGAAGCAGATTCTCCCTGGAGCTCCTGACAGCAGTCAGCACCTTGCAGGGGGCCCCAGACCAAGGGTGGACTTCAGCCCTGCTAAGCCCAGCGGGTTGCCTTTGTTGTGCCAAGCCCATGGTTGTGTGTATGTGACCTGTAGGAGAGACCAGCTCTCTCTTCAAGGAGCAAAGACTGCACAGACTTCCCCTAGGGGTCAATGTGGCTCCTCCCCAGATTTCTGCCGCTCTGGGGTTCCAGTGAGTAACCCTGCACACCACAAGTGAAGGTGAAGGAAGCAGGGAGGTGCCGGGTGATTTGCTTCCTGCACGGGACAGGAAACAGAAGCAGCACATGCCGAGGAAAGCCCCGGCTTCATGCAGCACTAAACAAGGAAAACGTGAAGCCACGAAACCGAACAAGACAAAGGAAAGTGAAAAAGCCCAGTGCTGGCGCAGCTGCAGGGAAACGGGCAGTCCTCACCAGGGAGACATTCCCATCCAGCCACACAAACCCATGCGCCCTGGACATTACAGCTGGTGGTACCCACTGACCAGCATCAGGGGAATGCCAAGGAAGGCCAGAGGGTGGAAAGAGGATTCTGAGGGTGGTGGAGAAATGGAGCGAGGGTGCTGTTTGGCAACGGGAGGGAACATGGAAGTGTGATGGCCGCATGCCCGGCCTGCACCTGGTCATATGGTCTGTGCCTTTCCTATGTGTCAGGCACAGGGTGGGTTTCGGGGTGATCCAAGAGCAGAGGCGAGAACAAGCTCAGGCTGATGTTTGTGCCGCGAGTGGAGGAGGAAGAAAGCACAAGGCCAGGCGGCCTCTCCGGGTTAGAGGGTCACTACCTTATCACCTCTGCGGAGGGCTGGAAACCACAGTGCTCGGCCAGGCACCGGGAGGGTGGCGGCACGGTGCAGGGCACAGCCCCACAGCAGGGCTCATGGCACAGAGGCAGGGATGCAGCGGGTACCAGAGACCCTACCTCTTAGGCCAAGCTCGGGGTGGGGGGCCACTAAAGGAGACAGGATGGTAGGGAGCAGGACAGGAGGATGGTCAGCATCGTGGTGGGGGGGGGAGGCAGGAGGGGCCACAGGGACTCAAACTTGCCGCCACCTAGATGTGGGGGACAGCATCCCTGGAGGGCAGAGGGGAAAGCCGTTGGAGGTTGGGGGGTTGACAAAAAAAATAAAAACCCCCGCTGGGTTTCCACCTTCTTGCTAAACCAGCGGGAGGGCTGGGGGCTCGAGGGCCTGCAGGAGTTGTGCAAGGGTTAGCCCCAACATTTTCATAACCCAGGCCCCTGCCAATCCCTGGGGGTGGGGGAGAAGCTGTCTGCCCCCGCCCCCCCCCCCTCCAATTCTTACTCAAGAAGCTTCCACAGCCGCTGGCCCCGGTTGTGGAAACAGCAGTTAGGCCAGGGGCAGCCGTGGGCCATGGTCACTCATGGACAAGAGTTAAGAGGGCAGGGGACAGGGCAGCCAGGGACCAACCCCCACGAGGGCCCTGCCCGGAGGGGCTGCGGAAAGGCTCCCGCTGGTGAGGATCAAGGGCTTCAGCGGGACCCTTTGGCCCCTGGGGCCCTGGTGGGGCGGGGGTCTGCTCACTTCCGCTCCCTGCTGACCCTCACTGCTTCTCCCGGGTGGGCAGGGCCGGAGGGACAATTCTGGGGTCTCCCGCCCCCACCCCCGCCAACCAGCCTCTGCTCCTATAAGCTGGCACCGCTCAGCTGCTGTCACGGCCACGGGGCAGGCGCAGAGGGACGCAGGCCGGACCCCCACCCACTCCCCCCACTCAGGGTTTCCAACCAGGCCGGGGTCCGCCGACCCCTCCGCTGGCCTCTGGCCCCCGCCCCCCGAGGGCACGTCATCCCCCGCCCCTCGGGCGAGCTGCCCGCCGCGCCCGGCACGGGGGTCCCGCAGCCGGGCCGGGAGCGCCGGGAGAGGGGGATGCACCCCGCCCGGACCCCGCACTTACCTGCGCCCCGCCCGCCCGCGGCCACCGCAGCGACTGCGCCCCAGGCCCGGCCGGCCGCGCTGTCCCCTCCCGGCCCGCCTCCGCCGCGCCCCCGACGGCCCCCGCCCCGCCCCGCCCCGCCGAGGTCCGGCCCTTTGTCACCCTCCTCCGCCCTCCGCCGACGCGGGGCGCCCCGCCCCTCCCCGGGCCCGGCCGGGCGGCCTTAGGGGAGACCCGACGGGGGTGCAGGGTGCGCGGCGCGGAGGCGGCCGCGGGGAGGGGGCGCTGGCACCGCGGGGCCCCTGGGGAGGCCTTCGGGGTCCACGCTGCGTTTGCTGGCTCTGGGTGCCAGCGAGGGGCCAGCCGGCTCTCCCAGAGCCCAGCGGCCGTTGGCACTGGAGCGCCCCCAGACTGCCCCTCGGGGGGCGCCCGGGGTGGGGGTGTCCCAGAGGCCAGAGGAGGGGGACGGTGGACCCGGCCTGGTTGGAGTCCCTGATTGGGAGGAGTGGTGGGGGTCCGGCCTGCGCCCCTCTGTGCCTACCCCCGGTCGTGACAGCAGCTGAGCGGTGCCAGCTTATAGGAGCAGAGAGGCCGATGGGGAGGGGGGCGGGAGACCCCAAAACTGTCCCTCCGGCCCTGCCCAGCCGGGAGAAGCCGCGAGGGCCAGCAGGCAGGTTCTGGGGAGCGGAAGTGAGCAGACCCCCGCCCCGCCAGGGCTCCAGGGGCCAAACCCGGGCCAGCCCCCTCAACCCCAGGCTTCTGGCTCAGGGGCACCTGGCTGGGGTCGGGGGGCGCCTCCTGCACGTGTGGCTCCACGTGGCTGCAGTGGGCCCAGGTCCCCATCAGAGGTTCCAGAAGGCAGTTCAGATGCGTCCCCCCCCCTCCCCGCCACGCGGCCGGAGGAGCGTGGAGCGCCACTCACAGCGGCCCCTCACTGATGCTCGCCCCCGACTTCTGGACTCTGCTCAGAACTCAGGGCGCAGGGCAAAAGGATGCGACTGTTCAGGAAGGAAGATTTTCAACAAGGATAAATGGAAATCAAATAAGTAAAAACTGTGATCCTAAATTGGATCAAAGATATTAGCATGAACTAAATGTGTTTTTAAAAATTATATATATATTTATAATTATATATTATAATATATAAATTATATATATAAATTATATATATATGTTTATAGCTTTGATATCGCTGGAGCGATAGCACAGCGGTAGGGCGTTTGCCTTGCACACAGCCAACATGGCCGACCCGAGTTCAATTCCTCCACCCCTCTCGGAGAGCCCGGCAAGCTACCGAGAGCACCTCGCCCACATGGCAGAGCCTGGCAAGCTCCCCGTGATGTATTCGAGATGCCAAACACAGTAACAACAAAATCTCCAATGGAGACGTTACTGGGCCTGCTCGAGCAAATCGATGAACAACGGGAGGGCCTTTATCTTATATATATATAGTTTTGGTTTGGGCCA